TGATCAAAGTTTTAAAGGTTCTCATAGTTTTTCTTTACAATAATTTAGTCACTGTAGAAATTATTTCTCCTGTTTCTGTTCACTTCATTCTGTACAGTTCATACAGCTATTCCAGGTTCCTCTAAATCTGTCCCTTTCATCATTTCTTACATGTATATTCCATTACATTCATTCACCATAATTTGCTTAGTCATTCTCCAGTTGAGGAGAGCAATCACTTTGTTTCCAGTTATTTGCTATAATAAAATGTTTTTGAACAAATGTTTTTGTGCATACACGTTTTTTCCCCCTCTTTAAATTTTTTTTTGGTGGCATATGCCTCATGATAATATTGCTTTGTCAAAATGCATGCTATAAGAAATGAGAAACAAGTTGATTTCAGAAAAACCTGGAAAGATATCTATGAACTGATACAAAGTGAGGTAAGCAGAACCAGGAGAGCATTGTACACGGTATCAGCAATACTTTATGCTGATCAACTGTGAATGACTTAGCTATTCTAAGCAATACAGTGATCCAAGACAATTTCAAAGGACTCATCATGAAAAACACCATTCACCTCCAGAGAAAGAACTCACGGAGTCTGAATGCAGATCAAAGCGTACTGTTTTTCACTTTCTGTATTTTTTTGTGGGTTTCTTTTTCCTTTGGGTCTGTGTCTTCTTTCACAACATGACTAACATGGTAATATGTTTTGCATGATTGAACATGTATCACCTATATCAAACTGCTTACTGTCTCAGGAAGGAAGAAGTGAGGGAGGGAGAAAGAAAATTTGGAACTCAAAATTTAAAAAAAATGTTAAAAATTGTCTTTACAAGTAACTGGGGAAAAATAAAATGTTTAAAAAGTATTCAGAGTTTAGTAAACTTTTGCTGTATACTTCCAGATTATTTTTTAGAGTGATTGAATGACTTCACCAATCTACAAACAGCTCATTTGGGTGCCTATCAAAGTCACATCCCTTCAAAAAAATTGGTCATTTTTGCCAGTCCATTAAGCTCATATCCTTTGACCATTTATCTATTTTAGAATAGCTTTTCTTCTTACATATTTGCATAAATTGCATAATATCTATTTTGGATATCCAACCTCTATCAGAGGTCTGCTGTGAAGATTTTTTTTCCCCATCAACTTTTTCTTCTAAATGCATTGATTTCATTTGTAAAAAACATCTTTTATTTTATATGCGTAATCAAAATTGTTCATTTTAATATCCTATGACTTTCCCTATCCTCTGTTTGGTCAAGAATGTTAACCTTATTCATAGTTATGAAAGATAACTCCTCACCCCCCCCTCTAATTTGTTTGATAACACCTTTTGTATCTAGATCTCCTATCTAGTTGAAGCTTATTGTGGATTTAGTATGAGATGTTAGTCTAAAACCTAATTCTGCCAGACTGGTGTTTTCCAGTTTTTCCCAAGTTTTTGTTGAACAATAAATCCTTCCCAAGTAAGGTAGAAGTCCTTGGGTTTATCATACACAATGCTACCATGTTTGCTTCTGGTTCTTACATACCTAATCTGTTCCATTGATCCACCTTTATACTTTTTAACCTATCCCAATAGTTTTGGTGATTACTGCTCTATAGCATAATCTGAGATTTGGTTCTGATAGGCTCCCTTCTTTTGTCCCTTTTTTGGCTATTTTCCATTTCTCTAGAGATTCTTGACCTTTTATTCCTCTAGACAAATTTTGTTATTATTTTAACTTGTACCATAAAGTAACCCTTTGGTAGTTTGATTGGTGTGACACCAAATCTGTAAATTTAGGAGGTATTGTCACTTTTATTATATTGGCACAGATGAAATGTGTGGTTTCTAACTCTCCAATTATTTAGGTCCTTACTTCTATAAAGTGTTTTGTACTGGTACTCATATGATTCCTCCCTATCGCCATAGCTGAACTCCTTGATATTCTGCATATACAGTATCCAGTTATTTTGAATCGAATTTCTTTTTCCATCTCTTCTTGATAGATTTTGTAGGTAATAGAAAAAGAGGCCAATTATTTTATGGGTTTATTTTATATCCTGCTACTTTACTTAAGTTACTTCTTCAATTAATTTTTAATTGACTCTCTAGGGTTCTCTAAGTAAACCATCAATCTATCTCTTTTTTGTCTATGCCTATTCCTTCAGTTTATTTTTCTTGTCTTATTGCTAAGGGTTAGCATTTCTAAAGCTCTGTCAAATAATAATGGTGACAGCAGACAATCCTTACTTGACCCCTGATCTTATTGGAAAGGCCTCTGGTGTTTCTCCCTTTCGGATAATGCTAGCTCTTGGTTTTAGATAATTATTTACAATATTACAAAAAGGTCCATTTATTCCTGTGCCCTTTAATTTTTTTTAACAGAAGTTGGTGGTGTACTGTTGTGAGAAAATTACTTTGTAATATGTAAAATGTCATATATTTCCTCCTCCATAAAACCATACCTTATGTTCCCTCCACCTTAACCACTACCATTACCCCCCAACCAAACTGAAAGTGACTGCCATTTCTACAAATCTCAGAGCATTTTGTCCACACATCTTCTATACACACAGAGTGTCAGACCTTAAAAATCATATAGTCCAAAGCATTTCATTTGACATAAGAATAAAGTAGAAACTTGAAACTAGGTTATTCCATTCTAATGTCTCATCTCCCTATAATAAATTGGAAGTTCCTCTGAGGGCAGGAACATCTTTGTATCCTGACAAACTAGCCCAGGAGTCTTGTCAGTCCATATATGGCAAATATTTGATAGCCAAATTCAACAAGTGTTGATTGATGCTTGTTGAGATGAAAATGAATACATGTTTCCTTTGAATTGATGGTGGAAATGTCTGGCAGATAGGGTACAGACCTGGAATTCCCAGAAAAGGAGAATGTGCTAATATAATAGAAATGACAATACTACCTAACTTTAATTTTAAGATATAGTGCCATACTAAATGATCAGAGGGTTACTTTATAGACTAGACAACATAACATAATTCATCTGGAGAAATAAAAGGTCAGGAATCTCAAGGGAAATAATGAAAAGAGGGAAGAGAGGATCTAGCAATACCAGACCTCAGACTATACTGCCAAGAGAGGGGAAGGAATAAGCAAATAAGCATTTACATAGTGCCCACTCTGTGCCAAGAGCTCTGCAGATATTATCTCATTTGATCATCACAACCACCTTGCAAGGTAGGTGCTATTATCTTCCCCATTTTACAGTTGAGGAAACTGAGGCAGACAAAGGTTAAATGACTTGCCTAGGGCTCCCACAGCAAGTGTCTGAGGTCATATTTGAACTCAGGTCTTCCTGACTCCAGGCCGAGCACTCTTATCTGCTGCCCCACCTAACTACCTACCAAAGAGTAATCATCAAAACTATCTGGTATTGATTAAAAAAATCTAAAAGTCGATCAGTGGAATGAACTAAGTACAGAAGACCCAGAAGTAGCACATAGTAGCAGAATATTCACTAAACCCAAAGGACAAAGACTCACTAATCAACAAAACTGCTAGGAAAGCAATCTGGCAGAAATGAGGCTTCATCTCATATACAGTAAGCTCCAAATGAATACATTACCTAAATCTAAAAGGTCTCATCACAAACAAATTAGAGAAGGGAAACATAACCTTTCACAACAATGGATGGGGGAGAATTCCTGACCAAAGGATAAGATTGTCATGAAAGAGAAAAACGGACAATTTTGATACCATAAAATTGAAATTTTTGTACAAAATTAGAATTAAATGAAAGACAACTAGTTTATTGGGAAAAGACATAGGAGAATTGTAAAGATTTTGGTGTAAATGAATATATGGTCTTATGGGGTCTAACTTTTCATTTCCTTTTTGCATATTCCTTCGAATTAACAGAGTAACCATGTCCTACCATGGCACAACTTCATCAGAAGCCTCTTTTCTAAAGAGAGAATCAACTTGGGAGATATTGTAGGCCTGCAGGGGTCTGGGGGGTGCCATTCAAATTCCCTGTACCTCTGTCTATGGAAAAGACAACATTATGATCATGGAATACAGCCAAGGTATCCTGAAAGCCCATGGGATAGGAATGCTTATTCCCATGGAAAGAGACCCTCAGCTGCAAAGCCAGATAGTTCACGCTTCTATTTTCCCAGATCAGAAAGTTGTTTGGGTTTTGTTTGTTTTTTCTCTTTGGAAAAAGAAGAAGCAACAACAGGATTGCTGGGCAGACTTTCTTGTTTTGTGATTAGATTTTAGAATTCCGGTTGCCTGCCAGCTCCCTGAATAGATTCAAGTTTTAGAACCCATTGTTAACTTCGATTGCGTATCAAAGAAACTTCACTGTTCAGTGACTGTTTTTTGTTCCATGAGTCTTAGAAAGTGGTCCCCTTCTGCAGTACCCATGGCCAGAGGCTGCTATAACACAGGGGCCAAGAATTTTTATGCTGATACTTAGTGCTAACCAAACCCAAGGGCTGACCTCACCTAGCACTTTGCTTCATACTCTCTTTTTGCCTGTATGTACTATCATGAGTCATGTTTGCCTGTGTTGTTGCTTTCTGCCCCTACCAGGCCACGAGCTTCACAAGGGGAGACACAGGGTTTTGTCTAAAACCAGGGCTGGGGAACCTGTGGCCTTGAAGCTACATGTGGCCTTCCAGGTCGCTGGGTGTGACCTTTTGACTGAGTCCAAGTTTTACAGAAGAAATACTTTTATTAAGGGGATTTGTTGGGTGATGTTTGGATTCAGTCAAAGGGCCGCACTTGAGGACCTAGAGGGCCACCTGTGACCTCAAAGCCCTAGATTCCCCACCCCTGGTCTAAAGTCTGTATCTTCCACACCCCCTAAATACTGCTTTGCACAAAGCAGGTACTGGACAATGGGAAGGGGATGTTCTATCCAAGGGTTTGTTCTAAAGGAGTCTCACTCATGGAAGTAGTGTTGTATTTTTAAAGTTTGCAAAGTACTTCTTAACTACAAATAGAGAAAATAACCTTTTCTTTTGTATTTTACTTTCTCTGTTTCTTAAAGGAGAATTCTTTCAACCATATTTCAGACATGGAAAAAACTTCCAAAACTTATGAAAGAGGAAAAATTAAAGGAAGAAAGGAGGGAGGAACTCCGCAAGAAAGTAGCTGAAATCCTTCCAGACTTCAGGACTGTAAGCTCTGTGTGAAGATGAGCAAAGCAGGAACGTTAAGCTCAAGCATCTTATGGATGAACAACTTCTCAGTGCCAGGGAAAAAACATCAATAAGTATGGGGCCTTTAGGAGAATTATCGTTGGCCCCTAAGGCCTATTTAGATGTTATTACTTAATGTGTTTGCCAGAAATTATTTGGAACAAAGGACGACTTGGAAACATTCTGGGATCTTAAATTTTCCTCCTTGCTTTCTGCTACATTGCTAATCAAAGGAGCTTGCCAGAAGCTTTACCACAAAGGGGTCATTCCATAGCAGAATTTCATAAGCTCTAGATTATCTAAATTCACTTCCCATGATCACTTGGAACCACTCTTTACATGCAGACTGCCTGATTTTATATCATTCTGAGCACATGGAGGAAAAAAATGAGCCTTGATAATCTGACAAAGTATGTTGTAATACAACCCTACCTATAAATAAAGTATTTCTGGAATGGTAGTACTGAATACTGTCAGAGGCTGACAATTACACTTGTAGCGGGTTAGTGTCAAGAGAAGGGACAGCACTTTCCCACATCCTTTAAAGATGCCTGATAGTAAGCAATTGTGGCATACACCAAAAGGTGTTATTTGTAGCAGGGTAAAGAGTTTACATGAAGGTTCTCTCTCTCCGTCTCATGGTGAAAAAGGAAGCCTGAAACTGCCTTCAGTGCAACTTGATAAGTGTAACTAATACTCTGAAGACTGATGAAATAGTAATAGAATCACCCTAATTTAAACATCCTATCTTTCCTTCTCACCTAACTCCTAGAATACATTATTCTCAGGACTCATGGTCCTTTTGTCTCTAGTTGGCTTCCAGAGGCTGGAGGACCACTTAATGGAGAGTAAAGGTTTTTGCTTTAGGCAGGAGTAGGGCTAGATTACCTTTGTGATCTCTTCCCTAGCTATAAAACAGAAATACCTCCCCTATGCAGCTGGCCAAATGCTAACTCTTGAATTTAAAAAAAAAAACGAAGGGCCACTGTACCTACAGGCATATTTGGTTTCGCTTTTACTTCTGTCCCCACATCTTCTAGATTGGGGTTCTTTTTTTTTTTTTTGGTGAGGCTATTGGGGTTAAGTGACTTGCCCAGAGTCACACAGCTAGTGAGTGTTATGTGTCTTGAGGCCGCATTTGAACTCAGGTCCTCCTGACTCTAGGGCTGGTGCTCTATTCACTACATTACCTAGCTGCCCCCTAGATTAGGGTTCTTAACCTGGGGTCCTAGATTTCAAGGAAGTCCGTGAACCTGGATAGAAAAAAAAATTACATCTTTATTTTCATTAACCTCTTGCTGAAATTTAGTATTTTCTTTTATTTAAAAAGTAAAAATTCACAAGATTTTCAAAAGTTTCACCAGATTATAAAAGAGTTCCAGGATACACATGGAAAGGTTAAGAACCCTTGACCGAGGCAGCCAGGTGGCACAGTGAATAGCCCTGGAGTCAAAAAGACCTGAATTAAAATCTGGCTCAGACACTTAACTAGCTGTGGGACCTTGGGCAAGTCACCTAACCTTTATTTGCCCGTTTCCTCAACTTTGTAAAATGGGGATGATATTGCCACCTTGCCTCCCAGGGTTACATTGAGGAAAAAAATGGAACAAAATTTGTAAAGCATTTTGTAAAGCTTAAAGCATTGTAAAAGCTAGGATCGCTATTATTGTGTACAAAATCTTGGAGATAATCAAAGGACGTATCATTTTTCCCATGGGGAAAAATGATTCAGAAAGGGCGATTTGCCCTGGCTACCTGGCTAATAAGTGTCAGGGCAGGAATTCAAATGCAGGTCTTGCAGGGGGCTAAACAACATAAGGCATAAACATATGGATTTTTTTTTTGGTCACCTCAATCATCAACTGGAGTTGACTCTTTATACCTATGGGGGTAAAATCCACTTTGCTTAGGCTCACTCACCAATTTATTGAACCTAATGAAAGGACCTTAGAAAAGAACTTTAGTGGTGCAGAAAAGCAACATGAGGCAGGGCTTCAAAGACTTTCTTTTTATTTGGCAGACTGGTAGATAATTTAGATGCCAAGAGAGAAGCCCACATACTAGTACTAGCTTGGAATGGGAGGCTGTGTCATACAATGGAGCGAATACTGAAATTAAACTCATCTGGCCTCAGTTTCCTCATCTGTAAAAGGAAGGGAGTAGATCACCATTAAGGATAAGTCCTTTCCAGCTCTCGAGCTTTGGGCCTATGATCTATAAAAGTAGCCTAGGTACAGCACTGTATCCATTTTCTTCTAGCACAATGGTACAACACACACACAAAAGAAAAAAATTCTAAACAGTTATAACAGGCTCTCAATATAAATCACAACACAGCTCTTTTCCTTTTAAGAATATTTTATTTCCCACTTATACAATTTGGTCACAACATAACAATATTTTACATAAATGGCAGTTATTTTGAAATCTTCATTTTAAAGGCTCTGTATCTGAGGTGATAAAATCATACCAATACAAGAAATATTAACAAAAAAAACAGTGCAAATTGTACATAGCACACAGCTTCCACAGCATGAGTGAGTGAGGCTTAATTCTGCATATGGTCACCTCTGTCAGTACTGCTGGGCCCAGCTATTAAAATGGAAAATTCCTGGCTTTCCTTCAGTCTGAAATCAGCGATCAGAACCAGGAATGTGATCTTTAAATGAAAGCCCTGAGCAGCCCCATCGACTGAAGCAGTCGAACACCCAGTTTACTAGATCACAACTGATCACATCTGCAAGCTATGATATTACATCTTTCAGTGGCTTCAAAGGATGATCAGAGGTTTTTTTCTTTGAAGACCATACATTTTTACTTGCCACAATAGGCTCTATCTCTGGTTGTAAAGCTTTTTTTTCCCCCTTTACAACATGAAATGGTTTTAGATGAAAGGTACCACAGTACAGGTTTAGGATATGCAAGGGGAGGGCCTTGCACAGAGTAGGCGCTTAATAAATGCTTGTTAAACTAAAAAAAAAAAACTTGCACAATACGCCCGAAGCCTGATTTGTAGGCACCATCCCCCAAAGAAAGCCACCTCCACGAACCAGTTAGAACTTTGGCCTCTCATGGATACTAGAGTGGTGCTTAGTGCTTAATAAATATTTGTTGACTGAATACTGCTAAAACTCTACCCACTATAATGTGGATAGTTGTCCATTAGGAACAGGCTGCAACTGTAATAACAATCCATTAAGAACAAAGATGAATCCAGCAAGCTCATTTCACATAAGTCACAACAAACATCTACAATATAGGAGTGCATTTCATTCAGCAATAAGCTAGGCATGGCTATCTTCCTTTTTTCCCCACCCCCTCTGTGTTTTTGTTTTTGCTTTTTTTTTTTTAAACTAAAATGGCACACTTGTTAAGCTGCTTATACTCTACAGGGATAGGCATTATACAGAAACACATAAAAAGGCAAACTGGATTTCAAACAGTAACCTGAAGTGAGAGGCTTTTTGTAATCCATTGCTTGTCCTATGAAATTATTCAGTTCTCTGACTCTAAAAAGTAGTAACTTATGGCTAAAAGTGAATTAAGACCATATAAACCTATTTTATTTGTCTAGACTCAAGAAGCCTGGAAACCTCACAGAAGAAGAAAAACATCCTATTAGAAAATGTGCTTCTAGATCACATATTCTGCTTTTATTAGTTGCACACACACAAAAAAAGTGAGCTCCCTGCCTCCCCAGGGTGGTCTTTTGGATCACTGACTTTGCATTTTCTGGCACTGGAAGACCCCTTGCCCCCTCTCCCCCTTCCTCCACCCTCCCTCACTCCCAATGAAAGTTTCTCCCTTGCTAGCAATGTTAATGTTCTTGGGACTACTGAAAAAAAAAATTTTTTTTTTTTGCAGTTGGTCCAAGAGACCATAAACAGATCAGAACGAGAAAGCACCACTGTTACATAGTATGGCAGGAGAAATCAAATTGTGTTCGTGAAGTTCACCAAATTATTGGCAGGTGGGATCCAGATTTATAAAACATTTGATTTTGTACAAAAAAAAATACAAATACACAATTAAGGAAACACAACCAGCATAATTAAAGGCAAAATAACCCTAATAAACACACCCATAGTCATATTTCTCATCAAGGATCCTCAGAAAACTGAAAGACATTATGTTGGTAATCATGCACATCAGAGCAGGCCCTTAACAAAGTGCTTCCTCTGCATCACTTTTTCTGTATCTAATTGGGCATTACTCTTCTCACAGTCCTTTACTAAATCCTTTCTTAGAATCTTTCCAGTTGATTCTGTTTTTCCCTTCTTTCCCTGGGACTGCAGCATGACTAAATGAGATTTGCAGGAGCACAACTAGATGGCATGATTTTTCCTTAAGAGTTAAAGGAAAGGAAATAATTTATTATGCTTCATACCTATTGCTTATAATCACTGGATCATGGGAATTTCCACTGGTTGTAGTTCTGGCCCAAAGCAAGACGTGACCTCTTCTAGTCTTGAACGAGAAGGGAGACCCAACACCTGAATGGCTCAGTCTAGAGTGCCCTGGAGTAAGTGGACTTCCCCCTAGGACCCACTCTATGGGATCCTGATAAGACTATGAAGAGGCACCAAAGTTCATTTTTACGTCATGTGGTCTTCTCAATTTCTGCAATTCACCGTAGGTCATTATGGTGGTGAGAGGCAGTGTTGTACAGTGGAAAGGGCACTGGATGTTGAAAGACGTGGTTTCAAATCCTGGCTCCATCACAGACTTGTTCCAGCTTCAGCTGAGTGGCTGTAGGCAAGTCACAACCTCAAAGAGTCCCAGTATCCCCATCTATAAAATGGGATTACAACTACTGATAGGAGCTACTTGGTTCACAGGGTTGCTGAAAAGAATACACTTAGGAAACTATTATAGAAGAACTTCTCATCTAAACCTAGAACAGAAAATTCCCTATATACAGCTCTAGACCAAAAAGGAACCCCTGGATATGCCAAGGCCCCTGTCTACAAATTAATGGACACCCTCCTGAATGGCTGATTAAAACTGAAATATATAGACTGTCAACATGTTAGTATTTCACCCATTCTAACTCAACCTTGAATAGATTTTTACATTTTTCACTTCTTTTGGAAATTGCTGATCCAAAATTCCCAAAGGCTCCAACACCAATAAATGATGCTTTTATGGGAAGGGAAACGTCACACATCTACTTACTGAATGACAATAAGAAAGACAGAGTGACACCAAGGAATCGGCTCCTTCCCAAGTGGAGCCTGTAAGGTTGGCTCCTTTATAGCCAAGGAGTTACAAACATATTTTTAAACATTTGGGTGCTGGTTATCCAGTCCTATGGATTGATGCATACCTCTTGAATCATACCTGTCTTTGGTCATTTTGCAGTTTATTTTCACCTTCACAAGTGTATGGTGAAGGTAATAAGGATTAGGGAAAACTTGCCCATTATTCCACTTGTAGTCAACAGTTCCAGTGAGATAACTAGTAAGAAAATAAAATTCATGGCCTAAAATAAAGTACATCACCATACATCTGGCACTCAGGGGAAGGGGTAAATAACAAAATCCCTTTTTCTTTATCAAAAAAATTATAGAGACAAGAATAACTGGCCTTAAATCTTACAAGTTTCTAAGATTATAAAATATCTTTTCCCTTCTTGGAACACTTGACCAAGGGAGCGACTATGTATTTGAGAAGTACGGCTCTAGCTGTGTTCCCCAATGCTGCCTTCCTGTACTTATCCCAATGGGACTCCTGTTTTACCACTGTTAAATAAACAACCACAGTCAGTTGCCACAGGAAGCAATTTCTCACTGGGAGTCAAGTTACAGGCCTGTGTGAAATCTGGTTGTTCTAATGAGCTAAAAACTGTCAGCTAACACCAAGAGACCAGGGATAGAAATAGTTGCAAATGAAAGTTATAGGAAGTACTGACATTTCTGAATTATGTACAGTTTATGGAGATATAATAAAAACTCTCTAAAGTAACATTCATAGAAAGACTAAAAAAGGTGGCAGTATTTTCCCTTTACTGGCTGTAAACAAAGTCATCTTTAAGGAGTTACTGGTTATCTTTGGGCTTACAAAAGGTTGTATCCATGACATCAAGGGTGTTACTCCCTCCCCCAAACTGAATCGTCTTATTTCTACATCATATGTCTAAGACTGAATAATCCTTTGTGCAGAAATGCTATTTCTTTGAACTATCTTAATTTTCTGAACTGCAAGTAAGAATACACAATTTAGTGGCATTTTGGAAAACAACTAGGAAAGAGGAGTAATTCATTAATTAGAGGAAACAGTATATACCCTGGTTTTTTTTCTCTTCTCTAGAAACTGAGAAGATGTAAAAAGGGTAAATGGAAAACAACATATAAGTGGAATGGGAAGAGATACCAACTAACTTCCCAAAAGGAGAGTTCATGCAGGAATAAAAGGTGGAATATTAAAACATGGGTTCTGCAACAACGTACTGCTAGAAACTGTTAACTTTTTAAAATACTTAGATGGAAAAAAAAAATTAAGCCCTTGGTATTAGTCACTCCCACAAAGGCAGAAGTGATTCTCCTTTTGTGGAAATCATCACAATCTTATACCAACACCTTACCAGGTGAACCATGGAAAACGTGAATTCCTACTGGTATTACTTATATTGAATAGATACATCCTTAGGTAGAAAAATATACATACCCTCACAGACACACACACACACACACACACACACACACATATACACACTCACACAAGGTTCTGCATCTAGACTTAAAAATTACTGCTATACACAATATTGACTGTAACAATTGTCTTTATAATTATATTTGATTGTCCTTCCTTCACGATTAGATGTGTAGCATTAGATTAGGCTACTGGTTCATCTAAGTTTCTACTCTGCTTCTTAATACCTTGTACTTTATAAAGTGACAATTACCATATAATTATCCTTAGAAAACTGTGCTATCTGGAATACCAGGAGATACATTTGCAAATCACTTTCCACCCAGAAATGTGAAAACCAGTGGTCACTTCTTAACTTCATTGTGCCTATGCAAATAAATACTTGCATATTCATTATATAAAAGCATCCTCCACCCACCCACCCCTTAGATTTTTCAAATCCATCACTCCCGGATTGTGAAGCAGTTTTCATTTTACCGAGTGAAAAATTACTTCTCTTGTCAGTCTGCACTTCTCAATCTCTATCCTTTTCAGCTCCCGGTGATGAATTCATTAGGGAGGTGTTCAGAAATGAATGGCTCTACTTTCACTATTTGAATACAAAAATCTCTAAACTGTGAGGTCGGGAAGATAGTTAGCTTCTTTCTGTTACAGTCTCAAAAACCTGAGCTCGGCCTTGTAGTGCCTTTTAAGAAATTGGTGTTAGAATGAGAAGCCTGCAAAGGACACCAAAGGGTTAAATGGAAGTGCGATCCCCGAGGCACAGTCCCCTGCCGAGATCAGCACAGAAGGCATTTCAGACAATGTCCTCTGCAGGGGGGTGGAGTGTGCGTGCGCCCAGGCTTGCAAACTGATGCCAGTTCCGTAGGAAGCCCCGGTTATACTGGCCCGTGTCCACGATCAGCCCACATAGGAGCCGGCGCCCAGTCTTCTCTCGAAGGGCCTGCTGAACCTCCCTCTCAGTCACATTGTAACTGATGTTTATCAGTTGGATCAGGAAAATATAGGCCATGCCTGCTGTTATGATCACAGAGTACCATACACAGGTAAAGGAGAGAGCAGAGCTGGTCGAAGAAAAAGAACAACATTTAGTACTGTTGTTTCCCACAAATTAGGATAATCCTTACCATTCTAATGATGTATTTGGCATTCTTCACCGGGGAATTCCAAAATCAAGCAGGAAACATTATAACCCATTTCACAGATAAGGAAGCTAAGACACTGGCTGGAATTCTCTCCCTCCAGATCTCCATCTCTAGGCTCCTCTGGCTTCCTTCAAGTCCCAGCTAAAATTCTACCTTCCACACCTTTCCCCGTCCCCCTTAAAGCTAGTGTCTTCCCTCTGGGATTATTTCCAATTTATCGTATACACATGTCTTGTTTGCACCTAGTTGTTTGTATGCTGTTTCCCCCATTAGACCATGAACTCCTTGAAGGCTGCCATTCTTTGCATCACCAGTGCTTGGCACAATGCCTGATGCTTAATAAATATTTGGTGACTTTACTATGGCACTGCTGTATACTCAGGCACACTGCAGAAAGGAAACCTGGGAATAAATCCATCCAGCCAACATCATTAATTAAATATCTATTATCTTATTTTTGCTTACTATGACGCTGACTATCCATAGGTAAGACACAGAAGCCCTATATTTACCTATAAGATATGCAAGGACATTGAAAGGATTCTGCTGTTTCCAACATTTTTACCAGTGACTTGGATGGAGGCAGGGATGGCATGCGGACCAAATTTATGGACAACCTGTGGTTATGAGGAATGACTAATATGATGAATGACAGAATCAAGATCTGAAAAGACTGTAATAGACTGAAATAATGGGTCACGTCAAATATTATAAAATTTAAATAGGGATAAGTGTTAAGTCATAAAGTTGAGTTTAAAAAAGCAAACACAACCGTACTAGTATAAGATGGCAGAGATGGAGCTAGGTAAGATCTGTACTGAAAAATCAATATGAGTCAATAGCAAAACGTGGTCCGCTTGGTTGCTGTTGTTGTTGTTTAGTCATTTCAGTTGTATCTGACTCTTCACAACCCTATTTGGGGTTTTCCTGGCAGAGATACTGGAGTAGTTTGCCATTTCTTTCTCCAGCTCATTTTACAGATGAGGAAACTGAGGCAAACAGAGTTAAGTGACTTGCCCAGGGTCACACAGCTAGTAAGTGTCTGAGGCTGGCTTTGAACTCATGAAGATGAGTCTTCCTGATTCCAAGCCCAGTTCTCCATCCACTGCGCCACCTAGCTCCCCCGTAGTCCTCTTAGGACTCATTAACAGAAGTAAGGTATGTAGAATGAGGGTGATTAACTGGATCAGTCAAAGGATCTGGGGATGTTCAGTCTAGAAAAGAGAAGACCTGGGAGCACAATAACCATCTTCAAATTTTTTGAGCCTGGTTACCCAGAAAAGGGATTAGGCTTGTTTTGCTTGTTCCTTTAGGGCAGAATAGGGGTGGGAATGGGTAAAAACAAAAAGAATTTACATTTAGTTAAGTATAAGTAAAAAAAATTTAACAATGAGAGATGTCCAAAAGGGGTGGACCGCCTAGTAAATTCCCAATAACAGGAAGTTCTACAACATAGCCTGGATGACAACTGGTCAAGGATGTTGAGGAAGGGACATTTGCTCACATAAGAGTTGGAAAGATGAACTCAAGATCCCTGCTAACCAAAGAGGTTTGTTTTTTGAAATTTCCAAATACAAGCACCCTAAAAAGAATGATCACATGGACATGGGAAAAAGGATGTTTGATCTCTATATGATTCACTCTTTTCAGGGGTATGCTAGTAGAGATTTATGCAGACATCATCCATGAAGAATTAGCTAGAAATAAATTCAATCATGGAATAGTAGAACTGAAAATGTCCAGAGAGAGCCAACTTGTCCATTTTCTCATTTTACAAGGAGGGAGAGCAGGTAAGCTGTCCAAAGTCAGTTTGTTGAGGCAGAAATGGGACTGGAATACAGGCTTTCTGATTCAAAGTCACTTCCTTTTTTTTGGGAGGCAATCAGGATTAAGTGACTTGCCAAATCTGAACTCAGGTCCTCCTGACTTCAGGTCCGGTGCTCTATCCACTGTACCACCTAGCTGCCCTTTGCCTCTTTCGATAATACTGCAACCCTCCTCTTCCCCTGCAATGCTTCACTACATAGGTTACCACAGAGCTACAAAATGGCAAAAATCAGCAATTTCCACTAACCTGGCCCAGATTCTACAAATTTCAAGTTACTGGAGACACATGGAAATTTGCTTGAATCATTACTTGGGCATAACTTGATACCCACTTTGCTGAATAATTTCACACACACACAAAAAAAATGAACACAGATAGGTAAGAACCTTATCCAAGCCATGAACTGGGAGCAGACTGAGATAGTCTAGTTCATGATTTCCAAACTTTTTTCATTATGTGACCAACTTGAAGATGACTGAATTTGCCATGCAACATACCGAATAATGGCTTCAAATAACAGTGCTGATGTGACAAAAGAAGGAACAAAGAAAATTAAGACCGATAATGATTTTTTTAGGGGGGAGGAGGAAGGGAAAGGGGACAATATTAGGAAACCAATGAACACCTGGACTTGAACAAGCCTCAAGAAGGTGGGAGTATAGAGAACAAAGAAAACAAACAGGAACAACCCCTAGCAGTCTGTGTAGGGAAGGAGCCAAATCCAGAGATCTGAGAGTACCTCAGCTTGCCATGACATTTAATCAAGTCCTCACTGAACACTGGGATGTCCCAAGATCAAGATTAGAAAAGATGGACCTCATTATTACAAGAAGCATCAGGAGAGCAAAGCAAAAAAGGAAAAGCCACAGAGGCTTTTCAATCATCAATCAATCAACAACCATTTATTAAGTGCCTACTGTAGGCCAACCTCTGAGCTAGGAGATACAACAAAAATGCAACACTGTCTGCTCTCAAGAAACCCGTATATTCTATCAAGGGAAAGGACATGTAGGTATAAGAAAACACAAAACGGATTAACTTCAGAGGATCACTACAGAAAGGGGTGGAAAGAGTTAAGAAAGGCTTCACATAAGGAATAGAGCCTGAGCCAAACTTTGAAGGAAGCTAGGGATTCTAAAGGAAAGCGGAGAGCAGGGGAGTCCATTCCAGGTAAGGGCACATATGGCAGATGGGCTCTTGTGTGCAAGGAATAGTCGTAAGTTGTGACAAATGAAAAACCTCAAGAAACAGAGTTTCTGGGTAATTAATAACCAACTCATTGCTAATATATTATTATATCATTATGTGATTTATTATTGTATTAGGCATATTATATTACATGCTATAAGCTAACAATCAGTACACTGGTGACAGTGGTTTCTCTTGGTAACCAAAGACCCTCAATGGAGACCCTGAAAGCCTTAAATAATCCTTCTGAAAGGGAATTCCTTTGACAAGTGAAAAATCAACCCTGACTGGTGAACATTTAATGAGGAGGTGGGCTAAAAGTCTTCAGCTCTGGCTGAGAAGTGATTTGATTGTGAGACTCAGGAGCCTCCAGCAGTCTGGACATCCACCTCTACCCAGACCACTCAGCTTGGTTTTCTCCTTCATGAGCTGAGTACAAGGACAGGGCTCCTTTCCCCAAGGGAAGGACTCACTCGGACTGGATTCTATTTAAACTCTAATCAGAAGCTAGGTCTCCTAACTGGGTGGGGTCTCTCCCAAGATTGAAGAGCAGGTTCCTTGAGGGCTAAGGATAATCTCATCAACCAGTCATGTGGTTTAGAGACTGACTTAAACAAGAGCTGGGCCTTAATGAGGAAATGGAGGAGAAAAGCCTGGATCCCAATTTAATGGTTGGTTATTAACATAACAGTACAATAATAATTCCTCTCAAAACAGGACAGTTTGGCTAGAATTTAGTATGTGTGAAGAGGAGTAATGTATAATAAGCCTGGAAAGTTTGGCTGAAACCAGACTCTGAGGGCTTTAAATCAAAAACAGTAGTTTGCATTTGATCCTAGAGGAAACACTGAGCCACGACAGCATCTTGAGTGAGGGTGTCAGAGGAGCATGGAGAAGGTTGGTGGTGTTTAACATGGTCAGACCAATGCTTTAGAAATATTCAATAGCTATCTATGGGGAAGATGGATTAGAAGAGAACAATTAGGAAGATACTGCAATAGTCCACATAAGCACTACAAAGAGCAAGAATAGGGGCAGCAGAGGCAGCTAGGTGGCACAGTGGAGAGAGTACCGGCCCTGGAGGAGGACCTGAGTTCAAATCCGGCATCAGACACATAACATTCACTAGCTGTGTGACTCTGGGAAAGTCACTTAACCCCAACTGACTCAAAAAAAAAAAAGAAGGGCAGTAACTATGTGAATGAAAAGAAATGGATGGATATTAAAGATGTTGGGGACAGAGAATCCATGAGACTTGGCAGTTGACTAGATATGGTATGATGGAAGGGGAAGAACTGAGAAAATGACTCCAAGCTTGCAAAAGGAGGTAACTGGAAAAATGGTGGTACCCTCAAGAGAAGCTGAGCAGTTAGGAGGAGATATGGTTTGGGGATGACTTGAGGACTTGTGTTTCAAACAGGTTGAATGTGAGATGCCCGAAGGACATCCAATTGGATGGGAAATGTCCAACAGGAAATTGCTGACACAGCACTGGAGCACAGGAAGAGAGACTGAGGATGGAGAGATAGACCTCAAGAGTCATCTGCACAGAGAAGATAACACTGAACCCCTGGGGTATCAAGGGCCCAGGACAGGGTCTTGGGATACACCCATCTTTGTAGGTAGGACATGTATGATGAGGCTATAAAGAAGGAAAGATAGTTATGGGAAACTGAGCCACCAGAACTTAACAGGACAGTAGTAAGTGAAGCTTAGTTAGAAAGCATGAGTTGAAAGGTATTTACTCCACACATAACAATTTAAACTCTTAGTTTCAATCTCTTTACATAGGCATCAAAGTGATTGATTAGCATTTTAATTATCACATAACATGATACATGAGTAGACTGCTGGATTTAGAGTCAGGAAGAGCTGGGTTCAAATCTTGCCTCAAACATTTAGTTATTGTCAATGTAATTCTAGGTAAGTCATTCAATTTCTCTGAGCCTCAGTTTCGTCATATGCATAACGGAGAATAATAATAGTCATTATCTCATAGGATTGTTGTGAGGATCAAATTTTTATTTTTATATATATACACATATATGTATTATATGTGTGTCTGTATATACGTGTGTGTATGAGAGAAAAGAGAGAGAGGGGAAGACAGAAAGAAGAAGAGAAAGAGAGAGAGGGAAGAAGAAAGAGAGGGAAAGAAAAAGAGAGACAGAGACTTTGAAAAACTTTTAAAGTACTACGTTAGTTACCATTATTGCCATTCCTAGTGGCTCCCTATGTCAAATGACCAAATCAGATGGATTTTTGACTGTATTACACAAGAGGTCCTAACTCCAAAGGCATTCTTTTGTCCCCTTAAAGGACACAAACCCTTCCCCCTTCCCATAGTCTCTCCCCTTGAACCCATTTCTCACCTGTAGTTTGCATAAACTCCTGGGCAGTAGAAAAGAGCTATGAAGATGCTCCTGTCTCTACAGATGGTGTCCAAGGCCAGTGTGATCCCATACACAGAGGTGACTAAGAAGATTGACAGTGCAAGGATGAATGCTTGATGATTGGATTCTCCAACACAGCTATTGATCCTCAAAAGAGGTGGGGGGGGGGGGAAACCATTATTTTTAAAAAAAAAAACTATACAGATAACTCACTTATCACAAACAGCAATGCAGATTTTAGAACCTAAGGGGACTGTCTGGGTCACAGGGGCAAAACATGCTGTAAATAAGGATCTGTTACCATTATTCATGCCATTAGTTCAAGTAAGAAGTAGAACATAGCTCCCAAACCTGTCTATAATTTTAACATTATTAACATCATAAGGAAGGGAAAATAAACATCACCTTAATGAATATGTGCAAATAACTAAATTAAAAGGTGCTTTTAACACCAGTAAAGGAAGAAATATAACAGACCCAGAAAGGTTCAGGAACAAAGACAAGAATGGAAAACAGGACTTAAAACTTGGCAATAAAAAGATTACATAATCTGAGAAGGATAATCTTGAAAAATATTTACATGTCATTTATAGTGAAGCCTATTTGTGCCGGTCACTTTTGTCCATTTGCAAATAGGCAGATTCAAGTATAAAAAAGAGCTCCTTTCAATGTATATGGAGGGCATCTGCCCATCTGCAAATGGGCACCTGTCCAAAATAGAATATGCATGTAATTACATCTACTTTGTGTATATATGAACACCTGCTATACAGTGCTATACCTGTACATAATCAGTGAGAGAGCATCAAGAGAGAAAAACCTGGAAATTCTCTGGGGAAAACATGCCCCCTAAAAGTAAGGACCCACCTGAAGGTGAATGCCAGCAACACAAGAGCTTGCACTCCCTATACATATCCCCCAAAATAACCTTGGAAGAAAGAAACACAGCTATTTCTCAGACCCACCCTCATGCAAATTCCCCTGAATGATTAAGGGATTAACGATTAATAAATAATAATAAATGATTAATTAATCAATCAACTAACACTTATTAAGGGCCAACTGTGTGCTAGGCATCAAACCATACAAAACATACAAAACCAAAAATAACATCCCTGCCCTCTCTGCAAAACAAGCTATTCAGGCAAGTTCTAGAATTAGTAAGTAACAATTAATTAATGCCGATGGTCTTCTCCGCCCCCACCCCCACCCCTGCCTTTTGGGGAAGATTTAAGTTTATTTCACAATGAAGGAAAAAACCCAACATCAATATTCAGGCTTAATTTACTCTTTGATACAAAATGTCACCTTTTAAGCAGTATGATGGTGAAATAAGCAAGTAGTATATAACATTCAGACCTGATAAACTCATATAAATCTAGATTTATATAAGTTTACCTTTTAATATTCAAGTGTATTTAGAAAAGGCAGCAAATCTATCCCTCCTAAGGTTGTTCAAGAAACATCAACCATTTATAAAAGGTTGAAAAGTTACATGTGCCTTCCTTCTTGTTTAATCAGAGGTGACTTAAGGAGTACAAAAGGGGACCCTTTCTCCAAATCAGTGTTAAATCTAAAGAGCTTTAGCTTGCAGCTTTCTATCAGATGCTGTTGAAATCAGCATGGAGCAGCCAAAGTGATTAAGGAAGCTTGGGGTGAAGAAAATGGATAGTAAAGTGTTTTAATGCACTGTTGATACAAAAGGCCCTGTTCAAATGCAAAAAATAAAAAGCGGGGAAGGGGGGGGGCGGGGAAGGGAAGCTACCTTGGGCTACATATTCACAAGGCATCACACTCCCTTGCTTCCTAATACAGATCCAATCTTGAAAGTAGATTTAACCATGGGTCTCTTCGGAAGGCTGCTGACAAATTGGGGGAGGGTTTGGGGAGAATCACTAAAATGACGATCAGAGGAATGGAAGGACTGAAGGGGAATGACTGAAGAGCTAAATCTGTAGGGCTCAGTGATGACTAAGTGGGAACATGATAACAGTCTACAAATATCTGAAAGGTGTAAAAGGCAGGAAGCTGAAGACTTAGGAAGGGAAAGAACAAATGTAGTTCAGAGAGTCTTACAATCTATTTTAGCTTAAAGCAGGGGTTCTTAACCCTTGGTACTCCATGGACCCCCTTTGGTAATCTGGTGAATTAGCCTTTGGACCCCTACTGAGAATAATGTTTTTAAATGCATAAAATAAAACATAGGATTAAAAAAGGAAACCAATTATATTGCTATTAAAAATTTTTTTAAAAGTTCACAAACTCTAGGTTAAAGCTTAATTTAACTTTGATTAAATTAATTTAATTTTAGTTCAATTTTATGAAGGCTTAATTTAAAGCCTCATTCCAGGCTCCTGGAACTTACCAGATGCAATGATGATCCATTCTTCTCACACACACTCCACATATCCGGCAATGCCACGCCCGGGCTGGTCTCACCAATTGGCACTTGGCACACCAGTCTTCCTTCACCTTGTTGGGGCTCTCAACTAATGTCCTAGAATAGCTCTTAGGGTCATCCTTTACCATTCTGTTGTTGACACTGCCCAGCGAATCTCCAGAAAATCCTTTTACTTTCTCCTGCCCTTTCCTGTTTAATAACTCAACTGGGCTGTTGTTTGGAAGGCTGCCATTTTGTAGTGGATTTTTGAGGTAGCCAGGATTCTTCTTGGCTTGACCTAGGGCTATGAGTATCAGAAATAATCCACAAGTGAGAATAACCAGCTGCCCGTGTCCCACCCGGCCTTTGGGGGCCACTTCTTTAAGGAACACATAGTACATGTAGCCCAAAGAGAACAGCCCCAAGCTCAGAAAAAACAGGGTCCGGTCTTTCCTCTTGTGGGTGAGGTAGTAATACCCCAATGCCAGGGCAGGAAGGGAGGTCAAGATGATAATGCCCAACAGAAGATGCCAAGAAGCTACATGGAGAAAAAGTGGCAGGAGGATAAGTGGTGGGATAATGGTAATGTTGACCTTTTTGGCTCCCCTAAGCCAGGGAATTCGGAAACGATCCGAGATTGTGTCCATGATTCTCTCAAAAGTCTCTGGGTGCAAGGATTTACATGTAATCCACCTGTTAGGAAAAAGCACATGCATCCTCTCAAAAAAAAAAAACACAAAAAACTGAAGGCCAAGTCAAGCCAACAAGCATTTATTAAATACCTACTATGACAGTCAAAAAACATTTATTAAGCGCCTACTATATGACAGGTAAGCTCTGGGGATACAAAGAAAGGCAAAAAAGACAATCCCTGCTCTGGAGAAGCTCACAGTCTATAAAAGAGGAGACCACATAAACAACCAAGTATAAACAATATACAGACAGGATACATTGGAAGGCACTAGAATAAAGGGGGATTGGGGAAATCTTCTTGTAAAGGGTGGGATTTTAGCTGGGTCTTGAAGGAAGCCAGGAAAGTCAGGAGGTGGGAAAGAATTCCAAGTATGAGGGATTCCAGAGAGGGAGTGTCTTGTCCAAAGAACAAGAAGAATGGCAGAAAAATGAGGGACCAGAGGGAAAAGGGAGTAAGGTGTGAAAAGACTAGAAACTACAACAAACCTATGACACAACACTGCTAACAATTTTTTAGTTCAGGTAGCATTTATTTTTGTTGAAGGGAAAATGTTTGCAAAACCTATAAAAAATAAAAGCTATTTTTCTAGTTAACAAATGGAACAAATATTTACTGAATGTTTGCTGTGTATAAAGTATACAACTAGGTAACATAAGAGATCTACAATCATATACCGGGTGATCCAAAAGTCTTAGTGAAGTTTTAAAGCATCAAAGCCTAGACAGACAAAATACATGGAAAGCTAAATAATAATTTAAACTACTATTTATTAAGCACTTACTGAATTAGAGGCAATGAGTTAGGTACTAGAGAAACATGAAAAAAAAATCATCCCCTTATAGAAGGGACTTTTAGTGGGGGGTGAAATACATACATAGATAAGGAAATACAAAGTAATGAGGTGGGGGTCCACTAACTGGGGGAATCAGAAAAGGCTTCATGGAGGAGTGAGTGAGATTCTATGAGGCAAGGATGTCATTTCAGGTATGAGGGACAGCCAGGGCAAGAGCATGGAGATAGGAGATGGGGTGTTAAGTATGAGGAGCGGAGACAAGGCCAGTTTGGTTGGATGGTAGAGTACTGGAGGGGAAATAATGATGAAGATTGAAATAAGGTTGGGGCAAGGTCGTAAAGGGCTTTAAAAGCTAAGTCACAACATTTATACTTGATCCTGGAGGCAACAGGGAATCAGTGGAGAAAACTGAATATGGGTCATAGCTTAGCTTAAGGAAAATTACTTTTGGCAGTTAATCTGCAGACTAGAGACAGGGAAACTAATTAGAAGGCTGCTCCAATAACCTAGGTGAGTGATAATGAATGGCCTGAACAAAGGTGGAGAGAACAGGTCTAATGTGAGAGATGTTGGGAAAGTAGAACTAACTAGATTTGGCAATGGACTCGATATGTGGGGTAAGGGAAAGTGAGTAGACCAGGATAACACATGGCTGTTGAGAAACAGAGATACAAAGGCAGGCAGAGGAAGGCAGGGGGCCTAGGTCAGAACCTTGGGTACATCCATAGTTAAGGGGCATGATCTCAATGACAAGCCAACAAAGAAGAATGAGAAGGAGTAGGAGTCATGATTGACAGGAAAGGGAAGTGATTTGATAGCAGAGGTAATGACGTGATGTAAGTACTGAGTTGTGGGAGAACTGAGGCTCTTGATGAAGGTGAAGGAGAGTCCAGGCATAGGGAGAGATAAAACGTTAGGATATTATGGTCAGATAAAAGAGAAATGTCAGTTTTTAATTAGGGAAGTGGAACATTTATTGAATAATGGTGGGATCCAAATGTGTGACCAACCCTACAAGTAGTTGACGTGGGGAAAAGGGTTATGTCATGGGATATAAGGAATTTAAAGAGTCTGAAGAAGCAGATGGAAGCTGAAGTTTCCAGGTATTAGGGTAGCTGGAGAGGAAAGGAAGATGGTGAGCCAGGTGCTCAAGTGAAAAAATAGTCTAAATCAGGGCAGCTTCCAAACGAGTGAAGAGGATAGATTTGAGACATGAGGTAGAGACAGAATCAATGATACTTGTCAACTATGCCAAGTGAAGACATGGGGGAATGAGGGAGAAGAGAAATTCAATTACTTGGAGGCTGCAAACTTTGGTAACTGGGAGAATGGTGGAGGCCATGACAGAAATAAGGAAGTTAGTAGGAACAGTCTATTTAGGGGGAAAGATAATGGGCTGTTTTGGACACGTTGAGTTTGAGATGCCTATGGATCATCAAGGCAGAAAGGACCGACAGGGAGTCAAAGACGTGGGACTGGAGCAAAAGAGAGATACCTGATGGATAGATAGGATCATATAGGATGGATACACGGGAAGCAGAGTTGGGGAGAGGATGGATTAAGTGTGTCATCCGTAGTCACATGGACAGTAAGCTAAAGAGGTGAGATTTGAACCCAGGTCCTCGGACTCCAGATCCAGATCCAATGTCCTTTGATGATAACTCGGCTGACAAATGTACACTACTATAATGCTGTAAATTAAACAATCACTAAATAGAAACCAAACTCTAAGTAATTAAAAAACAATAATGATCCTGGAGAACAGATAATGACACATCCTTCCCTCTCTCCTCCCCTAGGCAGAGAAGAGACATTACAAAGACAGAATGTGGCATCACCATCATTACCATCATCATAACATTCAACCTTTATACAATGTAAAGAGCTTTAAGGTTTGCAAGGCACAGTCTATCTTATCTCATTTGATCCTTGCAACAATCCTGTGAGGCAGGTATTATTGTTTATATTATCTCCATTTTACAGATAAGAAAGACTAAGATAGATTAAGTGACTTGCTCAAGGTCACGCAGGAGTGTTTGAGGTGGGATTTGAACTCAGGTATCTCAACATCAGGTCCAGAACTCAGCCACTGCAGCACCTAGCTCTCTCCAATAATAGCTAGGCTTTTTATGGCACTTTTTTTGCAAAGCACTTTACAAATATCTTAGATCCTCACAACCACCCTGGTAGGTAGGTATTACTCCCATTTTACAGGTGAAAAAATTGAGGCAGAGGTTAAGTGACTTGCCAGAGGCCACACAGCTAGTGTCAGAGGTGGGATTTGAACCTAGGGCTTCCTGACTCTAAGTACAGCACTCTACTAATTGTATCACCTAGCTGCAAAGACTATCAGTCACCGAATCAATGGTTTTTGCTGAACTGCCTTACCATTGTGATATAAACACAAAAGCTTTCAATGAGATTATTTCCATAAAATCACCCTCACAATTATGAGATGCAGGAGTCTGCCTCACCCATTCACCTGAAAACAACCTGGGGATTTCAGTCGATTGAAGCTCAGTAGCAGACAACAGCTGTTATACAGCAGCCCCCCAAAAAGCTAATATCATTTGAGACTACACTGAGGAGCATCATTTCCAGGAAGAGAGATGCTAATCCTGTTGTACTCTGCCCCTATCTCTTAAGGAGGACCTCAGTAGGCTGGAGGAGAACGCTTAGGGGAGAACCAGGACGGTGAAGGATTTTGAGTTCAGGACACATGAAAACCAGGGACATTCATTCGGCCTGAGGCTTATCCTCAAGTCTTTGAAGGGCTGTCAACAGAAGAGGGTGTGCCTGAGAAGGAAATGGTAAACCACTGCAGCATCTTTGCCAAGAAAACCTCAAATGGGGTCATGAAGGGCCAGACATGACTGAATAACAATAACAACAGGGAGGGATGACTCGTTTTGCTCAATCTTAGAGAGAGCAACCCAGAACAAGAGGTAGAAACAGCAAAGAACCTTGACAGAGGGTGAAAACTTCCTAACAACTAGTTACCCAAAAGTGAAAGGGGCTGCCCCAGAAGTGGGTCCCTCCTCTTAAAATCTCAGGTCTTCAGGCAAGTGCTGCGTGACCCTTGTCAGCATGTACTAGATAAGATTCTTACTGAAATATGACTTAGGGTAAACGGCTACTTCCCTCAGTGACATTCTATGATTTCATAATTATCAAAGAGGCTCAGAAACTGTTGAGAATCTCTAAAGACGATAACCCCAAGACGTCGATTCAGAAGTCTCCCTCTCCTTGGCCAAATCCAACACGCCAATATCACTGGCTTAGCTCTTGGAGCAACAGAAGACGCATCAAAAGGCAGTACATAAATAACTGCTGAATGCATGATGCAGACGGTAAGTGCCACAAATGTTCAGTGGAAGGAGAGATCGTGATATCCTGGAGCTGTCAGAAAAGGTAAGATCTGAGGTGGCCTTATAATTATAGAACTTTACCAAGGGAAGGACCTTGGAGATCATCTAGTCTCCTAGTTCAGCTCCTCATTTACAGATGTAGAAACTGAGACCCAGAAAAAGGAAGGGACTTATCGAAGATTATACAGTGAGTTAGCATCAAAGTCTGTCTGCTGACTCCTTCTGCTGACTTCAGGGTTCTTCCCATCATGCCTCAATTAGAGGCAGCTAGGTGATACGATGAATAGAGAATTGGACCTGAAGTCAGGAAGACTCAAATTCAAATTTGACCTTAGACACTTAGTAGCTGAGTGACCCTGGGAAAGTTACTTAACTCCTATCTGCCTCAGTTTCCTCATCTGTAAAATGGGCTGTCATGAGGATTAAATGAGATAACATTTGTAAAGCACTCTGCTAATCTAAAATCATCATACAAATGCTGGTTATTTATCTACTTATTTCTGCTTTTGTAGGAAAGGGTAAGATTTATTAAGCACTTACTGTGTTCTAAGCACTGGAGACAGAAAGACAAAATTAAACTATCTCTGCCATCAAGGAGTTTACAATATTGACATATTTATCTTCACTCTCTTCCTCTTGTCCCCAACACTGAACCCTCCCTTGCAACAAAAAATTAAGGGGGAAAGGAGGGAACAAGCATTTTGTGGCAAAGAATTGAAAACTGAGGGGATGCCCATCAATTGGGAAATGGCTGAATAAGCTGAGGTATGTGATTGTTATGAAATACTACTGATGTATAAGAAATGATGAGGGGGATGGTTTCAGAAAATCCTGGAAAGATTCATGTGAACTGATGCAAAGTGAAGTGAGTAGAACCAGGAGAACATTGTATACAGTAGCAGCAATATCATACGATGATCAACTATGAATGACTTCACTATTCTGATGAAGACAGTGAATCAAGACAATTCCCAAAGGACTCCTGATGAAAAACGCTATACATCTCCAAAGAGAGAACTCGTGAACTCTAAGTACAAAATGAAATATAAATTTTTCCACTTTATTTTTCTTGCTTTTTTTTCTTAGCAACATGGCTAATATGGAAATATGTCCAAATGATTTCACATGTATAACTGATATATTGCTTGCCTTTTAAATGGGTGAGGGAGCAGAGGAAGGGAGAGAGAAAATTTGGAACTCAAAAGTTTTAAATAATGAATGTTAAAAATAAATTATATTTAAAAAATAAATAAATATTCTGGTCCCATAGTCCCTCACCTTTCTGATAAAAAGAGGGCCACTAAGAGTTTTACCGAATAAGAATAATAATAAATCTTTAAGATTAATCTGGACAAGGTACGTAAAGACAAATTAGAGGAAATTAAAGTGGGCATACCAAGTAGGAAAGTATTTGCAATTTAGGTATGAAGTTATATGGGGCCTACCGAAAGGAACAGAAAGAACGGATAGAGGTAATGCCTTCAAGAAGGAAGAACCAACAAGATGTAATGAGTGATCAGATGTAGACACAAAGGGAGAGAGAAGGAAGGAAGAGCTAAAGGTGGCTCTAAAGTGTTGGGAATGATAGAATTCATCAAAAGTAGGTAAAAGAAAAAAGGGGGGGGAGGGCTGATAGAAGAGAGGACAGATTGAGAGAGCCAGTAGTCAGAAGCATAAAAAGTAAGAAATTTAGGAAGGGAGAGTCAGTTTGCAAAGATGAATGAACACATGCTTAGACATTAAGTCTAGGATATCTAAATGAAATTTTACATTAGGCAGCTGCAACTGTAGGACTAAAGCTCAGAGAGAGCTGGAAGACATGAACTTGGGAGTTCTCAACATAAGATATATGACACACTGCAGAAAGAAAAGAGCTCTCCAAGACAGAAGAAGAAAAGAAAGAACAATAAATATTTCTTAAGCACTGGCTATGGGCAAAGTGAGAGGTGGTTTATCGTAGTTGATGAGAGGCAGCTTAGGAGCTGGAATTTCCTAGCTTCAGGGCCATCTTCTGACATAATATGGCCCCAGAATGTGTGACCCAGGCAGATCATACAGCTTTCAGTTCTATAAGAGTCTCTAGTCTCCATTGGCAAAGTTTTTTCACCAGGGAGATCTCCCCTACAGAGATGAAATCGGGGGGGGAGGGGGGAATGTCACAAGGCAGAACAAAGCTTGAGACCAGGAAAGCTGTCTAAAAAAGAAGTCCCTGCTGTCAAAGAGCTTTCAGTCAAGGGAAAGTCAATATTCAGGCAGAAGACCTAAAGAAATTGGTATAGTAACTACAAAGTGGAGCTTTCAGGCTATCAGACAAGCATTGTCTCAAGTCACTAAACCTAAGTAGGGCAAAAGAACAATGAATGTTACTGATTACTTACATTATTTAATACAGATTTTGAACCCTCAACTACCCAGTACCTATGTTAAACCACCTCTCAACAGTAGCATTAAAAAAAAAAACGTTGGTTTCTTTTCAAGCATGTGCCATTGTAATTACTATATCATTCAACGAGTATTTATTAAATACCCACTATATGCCAGACACATTAAGACAGGCTACAAATACAGTGAATGAAACAATTCCTACTCACAAATAGCTAATATTTGACTATACATACTTATTATAAGAAATCTGTTGTGGGTTTTTTTTTTCCTTTAATGGGGTAAAGGGGTAGGGAGAGAAAACAGACTTCTATTAATTGTCTTTAATAGGTTAAATTAATAGTTTAATATTTTAAAATAGATAATTATATATATATTATGCATATTATATATAATATATATATATATATGAAATTTACAGAGAAAAGACAGACTAAACATAAATACCCCAAAAGATATACAAAGTGGCTAAAGATTAAGTAGTTTGAAAAGGGAGTCACTAGTAATTGGGAAAATAAGGAAAGGGTCCATGTAGATGTGGTGCTTGCACTGTATCTTGAGGGGAGAGAGAACCTATGAGACAGAGGTGGAGACAGAGGTGAAGACAGAGGGCAATCCCAGGATGGGAAAGAGCCAATGCAAAGAGATGGGAAGTGAGGCGAAGAACCAAGAGACAACTGGTTTGATTGTGCTGGGGATCTCATTCAATGAAGCTACAAAGATGAGGATAAGCTAAGGCAAAATTGAGGGGCATTAAAAGCTAAAAGAGGAGTTGATATTTGATCCTACAGACAACATGAGTGACTGAAGCTGACTGAGGAGAGGAGTGTTATGGTCGATTCCCAGCTTTAGGAAAATTACTTCACTAGAGCAGTGTCTAGGACAGACTACAGAGGAGGAAGAATTGAGGCCGATCTCAAACAAGAAACTATTACAATGACCTAGGGGAGAGAGGATAAGGGCCTGAACTAAGGTGATACCTATCTGAATATAGTAAAAGACAATCACATTGAGCTTAAAGAATTGTCCAAAATGGCTACATAAATGTATCAACTGTATCTAGGAACTCCAGCTATCCAATTTTTTTCTCCTCAAATCATCATAGGTTCTATCAATTCAGCAATTTGCAGCTACATGACTTCTTCACCTCACAAGAGTTATATAGAGAAAAAATAGGCTTCCAACATTTCTACTCTTCTCACCTTATGTCTCCCACATGGGAGCAATTTTAAAACATTTATAATTATGTGAAGAATGGACCTCATCCATATTATTACTTCTGGGTACACAAAGCTCTTTCTAAATGGTTTTAATGGTTACCTTTTTTAATAGTACATTCCATCTCAGGGTCTAGAGTACAAAAAATTGAAAGCAATACAATATTATAACACACTGCAATGTTGCTTGCTTACCCTAACATCATCCAGCCCACTTGAGGGGAACGAAGGGAATAAGCATTTATTAAGCACCTCCTTTCATTTGATCCTCCAATAGGGTAGCTGCTATTATTATACTCTTTTTACTGTGGAGGAAACTAAGGTAAACAGGGGTTAAGGTAGAAGGGGAAGGGAATCAGCAATTAAGCACCTACTGTGTGCCAAGCACCATGCTAAGCTCCTTACAATTATTATCTCATCCTCACAAAAACCCTGGGAGGTAGGTGCTGTTATTATCTCCTTTTTACAGATGAGGAAAACGAAGCAGAAGTAAGTGACTTGTCCACAGTTAAGTGTCTGAGGCTAGATTTGAACTTAGGTCTTCCTGACTTCAACTTCAGGCCCAGAGCTCTATCAATGAACTAACTACCTGCCTCAAGTTCACTTAAGCAAATCTTCAGATGACAATAGTTTTGATCTGGTTTCTTTTTTCTTTTTTTAACTTTTATTGACGTATTTCCCTTTCACCTTACCAACATTTGCAGATTATTCCCACTCAGTGAGAAATCTCTTCTAACAAAGTAAACAATTAGGCAAAACTAATACAGGAACTTTATTTGACAGTATATGTAACATTCTCTGAGGCCCAGCAAACCCTCCCACCCCCACCCCACCCCAGCCATTTTTTTAAATGGAGAAATATTTTCTCTCCCTCCCCACCACCCTCACCCCATTGAACAAAAGAAAAGAAATTCTTGTAACAAATACACAGTCAAGAAAAACAGATTCCCCCAACGACAGCACATACACACATACAAAATTGTTTGTGTATCTCATTCTGCATCTACCACCTTTCCTGTAATGAAAGCAAGTTTCATCACTGGTCCTCCGAAATCATGTTTCAAAACTAAAATTATGTTTGCAGAGTACAGGGTTCTGTGTGACAGCTATGCATTCATCCTGAGGCTAACCTCTCCAATAAAGAAAACTCTGAGAAAAAGTTACTGAAGAGTGAGTTTCTTAGAGTAGATGTGTGAGCCTAACAATCTCCTCAAAGGCCAGAGCCAGATCTATCAAACCTGAACCAAGAAATGAAGCTTACTTACATTTTTTGTTCAGGCATTCATTTTGCCACAACCAATTTACCATCCTCATTCCTATTCCAAGGTATCAAAATGGACAGAGCACTGGACATGGAGCCAGAAAGATCTGAGTTCAAATCCAGCCTGAGACACTTAGTAGTTGTGTGCCCCTGGGCAAGTCACTTAACCTCTGTCTCAGTTTCCTCATCTGTCAAACGGGTATGATAATAGCATCTACCTCCTAGGGTTGGTGTCAGGATCAAACAAGATAATATCTGTAAAGTGTTTTACAAACCGTATACAAGTGCTAGCTATTAATCTCATGCAGTCAGATATTTATGCATTAAAGTAATGGGTAATTTACCCATTATTTGACATAAGGAGCTAAAACACTAGGAAAACTCTCATATCTAAAAAGTGGTTCAAGGGCAAATTCTCAAGGTTTGGATGGCTAAAATATTAAAGATTCAATAGGAACCTGGAGAGGTAGCACTATGTAATGGATAGAGTTGGCCTCTGAATCAGAAAGACTGGCGTTGAGTGTGGCTGGTAGGTCTCTGGGCAGGTTATTTAACCCCTCAGTGCCCCAGGATTTTAAGCTGTAGAAGACTCAATGATCTGAATTGGGGGAGAGAGTGGCCTTCCCAGGGGTGAAGGCACAGATTTATTGGGGGGGGGGAAGGCAGGATTGACTCTTACCTTTCACAACCTTCATCAAGATCTTGACAATCACAAAAACTAGCAACCAGATGGTTCTTTTCCCCATTTTGATCTATGTATTCACAGCAGCAAAGGGGTTCCAACTCAGGCTCTTCCGTTTTCTTTTTCTTTACAGTTTTCCTATTCACCTTCGGTGCCATGACCAGCCCCTGTCAGCATGAGGGGAAGAACCCTCTAAGAGGAAAGAGTGCAACTGAGTACACCTTCTAGTCAAAACAATCACTACCCTCCTGTTACTTTTAGAGATCACAGTCGTCAACACCTAAACATATTCCAAAACAACAGACAGGAGGGGAGGGAAATCACTTTCTTCAGGATTTACTGTTCTCTTTTAAGCCTGGTGAGAGAGAGGGGCTGTCAGGCCTTTACTATTCATCTGTTGCCTCCAGAGCCTCCCCCTCCCTCCTGTACAAGGATGCTTACTGTTCCCATGGCGACAGTGGACCACGCTCCCAGAAGCCAGGCCGGGGAGGAGGAAGCCGAGAGCCACAGACATAAGCAGCCCCAACACACCTGACAGCCTGGAAAGGTAAGGGGGTGGGCGGGGCGAAAGGGCGTGACGGCCTGGTTCGGGAAACCCCACGGAGAGGGGAAACTCGTGTTTTTCAAGAAATGGGAGGGGATAAGAGGAAGGGGAGGTCACCTTGTCCACGCTCAGCTCGAGCCCGGAGGGGGCGTATTTGAAAGGCACGTTACAGGAGAGCAGGTTCTCTGGGTGCAAGGAAAAACGATAACGACTGCCACTCCTATAGAGAGGCTTAGGGAAGGTTTCATACACCTTATCGAATTTAATCCTCACGACATCCCAGAGGAAGGGGATTTTACACAGGATAAAAGTGAGGTTCAGAAAAGGGGCGGTGACTTGCCCAAGGTCATACATACTGTGCCAGAGCACATCACGATTCGAACCTCGGTCTAAGCCGTGCGGGTCCACGGCGCGTGGGGGTACAGGGAGTAGAGGGGTGGGGGTGCAATCTGGGATAGACCTCCCCCGCAAACCCGGGCTCTCCGGTCTGCGGCCCCGCCCCGATCCGCCCTTGACCTTGGGCGCTGAGTTATAGTTACCTTCCCGGAGAGAACACAGGACGAGGAGGCGGCGGCGCGGGCTCCTCCAAGCTCCTCCAGGCTCCCCCCGGTGCGGACCCGCGGAGGCTGCAGCCCCGGAGCCGGTGCCCCGCCGCCGCCGCCGCCGCCGCTCACCTGGCAGCCACAGGCGGCTCCCGCCCGGCCCAGGTTCACACTCAAGCTCGAGCACAGCCCTCGGGCGGCGGCGGCGGCTTCCGACGTTTGCCCGGGACTTTGCCGCCGCCGCCTCCTCCTCCTCCTCCAGCCCGGCCCCAGCCGGCGCCCCCGCCCCCGCTGTCTCCTCCGCGTCCCTCGGAGCTTCCGGGTGCCCCGCCCCCTGACGTCGGGAATCCCCCCCCTTTCCCCGCCTTGCGGAAGCCCACGTGCGAGGTTTCCCCAGACCCCGAGCCGGAGCAGGCTGCAGACCCCTCCCCGTCCAGCGGACGCCAAAGGAGCTTTCCACGTCTAGCCTCCGCTGGTAGGGGCAGAGGGGCCTAGGGAAGGGGTGGGGCGAAGAGGAAGAGAGCAGACTGGGGTAAGGGAGGTAGGGGTCCCAAGCAGTGCTGCCAGGGGCATCCCCGGGCGCAGGATTTTAGAAAGTGTGCAGGATGCCTTGAAGCTGTTCAAGGTGAAGGGAAGAACTGAACCCAGCTTCCTCCGGCACGAAGTGTTTCCGATTTTGTAGGAAAGGAAATCCCGTTAAACAGCTGGGCAGCCTTATGTCATAAACACGAACTTCCACACCAGGTCGGATCTATGGATCACAGATGATCAATGTCCCTGCCAGAGGCTCCTAGACGACAGGCACTGTCCTTTGCTGCTTTTTTTTTTGTATCCCCAACTCTGGCACATAGTAGGCGCTTTCATAAATGTTTATTGATTGACCCTCGGGACTTGTGAGACCTAAGTGCGTACCTTTTCTGCTTTCAATCACAAAATGTTAAGATGTATTCCTCCCATTCTCTTAGTAACCTATTAAGGGTTCGTCGTTTATCTAATTCCATAAGCCTAGATAGTTTTGGGTAGAGGACGAAAAACGAAAAACTAAACCTTAATTTGCACATACGCGCACACACGCATACATGCACACACATATGGGATCGTGTTCCAATTCACTCTCCCGGCGACACTCCCTAAATTTTTTTATAATGATTAGCTCCCAGACCAACCTACAAAAGCTTATTTAATGATTAATGTACCTAAAATGCTGGACTATACTAAAAGGCTATGAACCCTCACCACCGTGTTTAATGTTTCTGTGTGAAAATGAGCTCGTGGTTATAGCCAGGAACGCATCTCCCCCGTACTAGGTGTTATCAAGAGGGTACACTCCCTCCCTCCCGATTCCCCCCGACCCCGTCTTCCCCTTCTCTTGCCAGACGGGGGACCGGGGGCTCCGCAGGTCTAACCCACTGGTGCTATTTCTCCTAGCCTGTGACAGTGCCGGTATTCCTGGTGGTTGGGGGTAATAGAGCACTTATGGGAATCCACAGATGAAAATTCAAGGTTAGTGGGAAAACTCCGGGGACACCTACTCGGGCTACGAGCGCCTGCCTCCTCACCACTACACCTTTTACTTTCTCCGATCCCTCCACATTCTCACCCCCTTTCTACTTCCTTGGCCCACAGTAGTCTGACAGAAGCAAGCACTGTAAGTTATTTTTGAGAAGTTTTTATTATGAAAGGTTCCTTTCTGTGCATCTCACCACCTTTCATTTTTCACTTAAACCCTATATTTAAAAAAACAAAAGTGGACTAAAAAAGGTAGTAATAATGCTTTTTGGCATATACACAGGACTAGAGTAAAAATTGTACACATTTTCTCAACTGTAAAATAAAGAGCTTCCCTCTCTGTTGCTGTAATGCTAAATGCATTAGGAGAAATTTGATGAGGGAGACATAATCACTCCAGTCTACAGAGCTTGAGGGAAGGTTTCCTGAGATAGCACTTTATAGCTGAGCCTCATATATGACAACTCATTCCCTTCTTCCTTCTTTATGTTAATAGCAGCATTTTCCAAATTGCCCATGTTTGGAATTCCAGTCATCTTTGATGTTGACCCCCTAAAACACACTAGGTCTGACCCCTTCTTTCTATTAACCCACCACCACCCTAATTTAACCCTTTGGCCTTCATTCTTTCAGGAGCCTCCTAACAGGACTTTGAAAACTGGCTGTGGTGGGACAGAAGAGGACTGGAAGAGTAAAGGGAGGTTGTTAACCCATTTATTCTTTGCCTTCCCTTGTCATGCAGTCCTCTCCCAGGGCTAGACCAGAATTGCGAGTGGGGAATAGATCCCAGGCTGCAGAAGAGGATTATGAACCCCACCCTACATCCATTTGAATTGAATCTTTCTTGAAGAAGATGCCTTAAGTTTGGTTTAATTATGCAAAAAATTTTTCAAAAGAAAAAAAGAAAAAAAGCAGCAGCCAAATTCAGTAAATGAAAAATGGATCACAGTCCTAAAGAACTGAGAATTCAAACAGGAAGAACTTTATAATCACTGCCAGATGCAGTGACCATATTGGGTATTCTTGTTTCACTGGTTATCTTTGCTACACAGTAGGATTCAATTTGTGGGAGTTTTTCCCCCCAAAAATGACTATGATATACTAACAAAATGTCTTTTAAAAACTTCCACGTGATACTGAGTGAATACTGATGAATAAGAACTTTGAAAATTGACCATTAGTGTCATACAGATGTATGTTTTGGGGATTTTTGGGGCAGCTTTTATGGATTTTTTTTTTTACACAGGAGGCAAAAAAATAAAGCACAAGAGATAAAATACAAGAATTTTAAGTGTTTTATTGATAGTTAATTTACATGACAAGTTCAAATTTTCTTAGAAATTTCATAACTTGTACATAAACATTTAGTCTGAATTTATCATTTATCATTTGGTTTGAGGTATATTGTAAGGACAATCTCTATGGTTTAAGAATCACCACAGAAAGTGTTTAGTTTGTTATTTACCCTTCTTGTACCCATAACAAACATGACTGAACATTGAGTTCTCATTTTAAAATTCCATAATTGCTGTTTATAGCCTCACCCCCAGCCCCTCAGGGAACTCCTCACTACAGGTACTCAGACACTACTTGTGGAGATGGAAGTCAGAATCAACGTACTACAACCCTACAATCAGTATTTCTATTCTTTACTGGACTCTTAAGGAAAGGCTGTAATAATCCTATGGGGTTTCTATGACTGGAAATATTAGGAAAGGTTTAACTCAAACCTACAGCTCGTCAACTGGAATAAGAATTTATGAAAGAAAATTCTCATCCAATGTTTTTCTAGCATTCTGGGGTAAAAACACAGAGCTCCTTCCTTCCCCCCCCCCAGCTTTCTATTTCAATATAGTAACTCCTGAAGAAACTTTTGGGGTTTTTTTTTCTGTTCATAAGGACAGCACACTTGTATAAGAATGCCTACATACATTGAGAAAGAAGGTCTAAATGAAGGAGCCAAGACTTGTCTAGCTTGTATCTTATCTGCTAAAACAAAACACCTATGTACATAAAAAGAATGATGACCTATATGGTCACTGAAAAATAATGCCTGAAATTATTAACAATCAGTTGGTTCACTTCCATCAGTTGGGGAGAGCTACTAAAATAAAGCTAAGCTCTCAGTTCAAGTCTTCCTTATCCATCAGTAAATGCCTAGATTTTAACAGCAGAGTGTTCTAGCTTTTAAGACGGGGAACAGGAATCTTCATTTTTTTTTTCTGCTAATCTACTTTCCTACTCAGTCTGCCTGAAAGATTGTTCTGCCATTATTCACACAAAAAGCCATGTCACTTCTGACAGCCATTTTTTATAAAAAGAAAATATTTCTTTAAGAGTTACTAGCCACATCAGATGAACTGGCCAGATCTTTGGAAACATTTCCACTCAGGCTCAAACCCAAAAGGATTTAACTACTGAACTTCCACAGTGAATAATGGAAGAATTATAAATAAACTTAGAAATAACTCATGAAAAGAACCTATACTTTTCCTTTAACACAAAGAAAAAAGAGTTTTTTCCTGATGTTGCATTCATGAGACAGGTAACTCTGATGGAAAAACACATTACTTAACATTAGCTGTTCAATCCGTGATGACATCTGAATTTAACCTAAAAACCCAACCTGCACTAGAGAAAGTAATGGGCCCCAATTTAAAGTGCTTTGCATTATTTATATAAATCACAGAAATTCAATAGTACAGTAGTTCTACCTGTTCATCCTACAAATTCACAGCTTTGAAATATGTGAAAGAAACAAAAGGATATATTCTCAATGTCAAAGGTGACCATAATCATTAAATAAATACTCAAAATATCCTTTTTATTGGACATACAATAAACCAATGAGGGAAAAATAACTTAATGCAGATATTGCTGTGACAAGTGAAATCCTTCTCCTCTGGATTATTTACAAATCTCTTCATTCATTGTCTCAGTTCATGGGAGTTTTAGGCCCTGAGACTGCTAGCTCTCAACAGCAACACCAGTCTCGTTCTTATTCAAGAGATCAAAGGTTCTCTGGAGCATAATGAGGGAGGTCTTCAGCTGGAAACATATGATTTCCCAAGACAGAAATAAAATTTATTTTCAGAATCACATTTCACTTTTCAAAATTTGGCCATTTTGAGTGCCAAATGGTAATTTCTATATCCCACATAATTATGTAAATATATATACTTGGGTAACATATTAAATGTTACTCAAGCCCAAAAATTAGACTATAATGTTGGAATATTTATAATAGACATTAAACATCCATTTTTAATCTGTCCTTCATGATCATAATTTGTGCCAAGGTGATTGCTATATAAACCTTTCCACCTTTTGCTAGGCCACAGAGGGTCTCTTGCTGTTGTCTCCTGCCAACTCTACTCCTCCCAAATTTTTATTCCATTAATCAAAGCAAGAGGATAATTTTCCTAAATAATTTCTAAAATCAGGCCAGTTGCAATAGTTTCCTCACTGTCTTCCAAATAAGTCATTCTTATAACCACCTCTGAGCTGGGTTTTTTTTCCCAACTACTGTTTCCATCTAATGGACCTTCACTTAATCCTTCTCTCCACCTATCTAAATTCAAAGCCCACCTAGTTTTTGAAAACTTCTCCAACCACTCCAACCCACAGTGAATCCTCTCCCTCTTCTGAACTCCTGTAAAACTTGTTATCTCCATCATTCAATTTGGCATGACATTTACTTTATTGTATTCTTAGTTAAATGTTTCTGTTGTATGCGTCTTGTCTCCACAACAAAACTATAAGCTCCCTGAAGGCAGGATTGTGATTTCTACATCAAGTCTCCCTCTCCCTGCTTCCCAATCAATGCCCAGTTGCTCAATTAATAACTAGAATGAATAGAGGTCTTCTTTTCTTCTTTAAACTGTCTCAGCAAGCATAGTTCTCTTCAGGATTAAAGGGCCTATCCTCGTGGCAATTTTTTTAAGTTTTAAATTATTAAACAGATTTGCACAAAAACTTTGATAACATTAAATATTTAGAATCTTTTAACTTTTTCTTCCACATGAAAGCTAACACTTAAACCTGTGACCTAAGGGGCTTTACAACAAAGTCCCCACTGCTTGTCTTCTACTCCATCCACCATCAACCCAGCCCTTTCTCTCATTTCTTTGCATCTTCACCTCCATTCTGACTTTCCCCACTTTCCCCACAATGGACCTAACTTAGGATGGTGATCTGCCTATTGTTTAAAGGGTACCTTGAAGCTTAGTTAAATCTATTTTGTCTCGGTAGTTTTTTTTTTAAGCTCAAATTCAGCAAATATTTATTTTTCCAAATGTATATCTGCATCATCACGATGTGTTTGGTTTTAATCTTCTGGATTCATTAAAATTCATTTTTAAACTTTTAAAATAATTCTATGAGCTACCTATCCATCAGAACAAGAACTAATTCACACTAAGACAGACAAGGGTACTGTAGACTCGCCTACCTGCTCGAGCATGGTTATGGAGTCTCTAAGAACTCCTCTCAATCGATGAGACTGATCTTTGCTTTTCTGAGTGTTTTCTCCTCTTGATACCGCATCAGAGGCTGAACTAAAAGAACGATACCATTTTTGAAGTGAGGGCATTTATCAGCTGATCTTTTATTTCCACAATTCTTTAGCACAACACTTATGAATTTGCACAAATGGCTTGTCATCAAAGAATAGTTAGCAGACTTATAAATGTTATGCTATTTAAAAGGAGGAATAAAATGTTCTTCAACTGAAAAACAACAACCTGATGAGCAGCAGTCAAAGAAGAACTCAATGAAGAGATTTACTCACTTTCCAGACTTTTCTTCCTGGACGTGAAGATGATGATTAAATGACTGAGCCGCATGCTCTATCTTGGACAGCTTGAGAAAGAGCGTCACATTCAACAAGACCAGCAACAGCAAACTAGGCACAAAGCAAAGTAAACATAGTAAATCCAAACTCTCATTCCATCCTTGTGTAATAATAATAATAATAATAATAGCTAACATGTATACAGTGCTATAAAGTTTGCAAAGCATTTTATATGTATTATTTGATCCTCACAACAACTTGATGAAGTAGGGGCTATTATTAACACCATTTTACGGTTGAAGAAACAGTCTGAGATAGGTTAAGTGACTTGCCCAGGGTCAAATACCTAAGTAACTGTTTGGATTTGAACTCAGGTCTTCCTGACTCCCAAGTCTTGACACTCTACTCATCGCACCAGCTAGCAGCCCAGCTGACTTGGTCATTTTATAATACCAATATAATTACATGAATAAAATAACCTTAAAGATAAATCTTCAGAAAATGGTATTCCAATTGCTATAGAGGGTATGATGGAGAGGCATATGGGCTTGTGGGATCTGGCTTGAAGATGTGATCGTAAGGTGGAAAACCAGATCATAAGCAATTTAATTAGATGATTATACTTTAAACACAAACCAAGGTCAAGAAAGAAATAGCTTCAAGTGGGTAATCAAGAAACAATCACTTTGGAATAGAAGTAAAGTTTTGGTATCCCTGTGAAAACCAAAATTTAAGTAGAAAAATTAAACCTTCCATAGCATTTTTATTCAGGCTGCATTATCCCAAATATATATTCGTGGTATCATCATATCTAAAATTTCATAAGCTAAAACAAACTCATAATGTTGGTTTCCATAACAACCTTTCAAATGAATGTTAACCTCATTAAAAATACATACAAAATACATTTAGTATTATATCTTCTTAAAAGCTAAATTTTTCCCCAGTATAATGTTATCTCCTCCTTCTTACATTTGTAGTAACATCTGTAGTATACTTTTTAGCCAAAAAAAAGATCTAGAATAAGGCCAGCTAGCAACAAACATTTGGGCAGAAATACAAAGCAAAGAAATTCAACAGATCACAAATGTATTTGTTATTCAAAACTGTGAAAGTGGGGCAGCTAGGTAGCACAGTGGATAGAGCACCAGCCCTGCAGTCAGAGGACCTGAGCTCAAATGTGACCTCAGACACTTAACGCTTGCTTACTAGCTGTGTGACCCTGAGCAAGTCACTTAACCCCACTGCCTCACCAAAAAAAAACCAACCCAAAAACTATCAACAAAACTGTGAAAGTGAACTCAATAGAGTCAATTTCTATTTACTTAGGAATCCAAACTACAAAAAACAAAGGATTGTGGTACATTTTGGTTTTTGTGTACTCTGTGGCCATGTAGTACCACGGGAAAAGCTCTGAATTTTGAGGCAGAAGACAGGAGTTCAAATCCCAATCCTATTATTACTTAACACTGAACAAATTAAAAAAAACAACAACCACCAAACTCCTCTAGGCCTCAGTTTCCAAATCTGTAAAATGAGAAATCTAGACGAGCTGAACCCCAAAGGTCCCTTTATGTTCTAAATTTATGACCTTAAGATTTATGAACTCTATTTTTATGAAAAAAAGACAAAAGACATATTATAAATGAATCTTCAGAGATATTTTAGAAGAAACAACTTCCAGGGTATGTCATATCAGGGAAAATTTATTAATTGCCTTTACCTAAGCTCTCTGAGGCCAGTTTCCTCATCTCCTGGCTCTAATATTTTATGATATCCCACGTACAAGTCTAATGGGATGATCTCAAGTTAACAGTGATGAATCTGAGACACTATGAAATCCCGTGGTTTATGAACCATCCAAGATTGTTTTGTTCATCTATAACATTTATTTAAAAAATTACACTTCATGGTACATATAACTTAGTTCTACTGCTATTTAATCAACAAGACCATTGTGTTCCAATAATTCTGAATATATATAAATAAACTATAAATTTATTTATATAATATATTATGTATAATATATACTATAGTATAAATATATTTAACATAAATATAAAATTGGCTCGATAGGTTTTATCAATTTCAGTTATACTGATCTACTCTTTTCCTAAGGATTTTTAACAATTTTATTTTTTAATTTTTGGTTTAGTATTTTATTTCTCCCTAGTTGCATGTAAAAACAATTTTTAATATTTGTTTTTAAAATTCTGAGTTCCAAATTCTCTCCCTTCCTCCCTCCCCACCCCTACTCCCCTCATTGAGAAAGCAAGCAATTTGATATAGGTCATTCATGTGTAGTCATGCAAAACATTTCCATAAGTCATGTTGTGAAAGAAAACATAGACCAAAAAAAAAAAGAAACAACAAACCCTCAAGAAAAAAAAGAAAGCAAATAAAGTATGCTTCAATCTGTATTCTGACATAAGGATTTTTAATAAAGTTCCACAACTGAGTAATTCATTTTGTTATTTAACAACTCTACAATAAGGAAATTGTGAGTTGTAGGTTTAAAAAAATATATCCTGGGGCAGCTAGGTGGCACAGCACCGGCCCTGAAGTCAGGAGGACCTGAGTTCAAATGCAGCCTCAGACCAAACACTTGATTTACTAGCTGTGTGACTCTGGGCAAATCACTTAACCCCAACTGCCTAAGAGAGAGATATATATATATATCTCCTAAATCTAATCCTGATGCAATTTAATTCCATCTTATTTTAGCAAAGAGGGTATTACTAACTTCTATATAACACTTCAATATAATATAAGCATTTCTGATAGTAACTCTTATCTTTTCTTTATCTTTCTTCACTAATCCTACTTTTTAATCCTTTATTCGTGATATTATTATCTAACCCTCTCCAAAGGCCTTTTAAATTATGGAACCCACTACTAGCCTCAGTTCTCTCAAGACAGTGGATAATAACAGATCACTTCACAAGTCTGTATGCCATGTTAGGGCTGATAAATCAAAGTGGCATATTTAACTTGTTAGTAACTTTTCATGTAAAATAAGTTTGAACTGTTATCTAAGTTTTAATTAATTTCATTTAGACAAAGGTATCCATCCTATAAATGCTGACTTCATCTAGACCAGAAAGCAGAATACTCAACTCCAGACTATGTTACATACATGTGTGTATACACACATACATACACACACACACACACACACATATACACACAAATATGCTTTGACAGCATATTTGCTTTCTTCCAGCCTATGCTAAAAAAAATTTACGGAAAAAATGCTGCCTACCTCATTCTCATAATTGTTCTTTAAAATGAAGCCATAGAAATTGTTAAATAGATCCTGATTGAGTATATTCTTGTAGAATGCCATGATCTAGCCTGACTGCCTAGGCAATAGAGTGTGAAAAGGTATAAATGGGATTATCACTAATCCACCAGCCTATATGTACAAAACTCCCTTAAAGCACAGGGAGCTTCTTATTACTGTCTCTAAGGAGATGCTTGCTGCATTACCACCTGATTTCTAAAACACAGCGTTTCCTGCAATGTCTAAAAGCTACATTAAAATTAATGGTAGAAGTAGGAGTGATAAAAGTTAGGTGATTTAATTTTATAGCTATAACCTCCCAAATCAGTTGTAAGTCTTCTCCTGAAAGGACCTCTACTCAGGAACATACTTCACAAATCATCTAATCTGTGGTCAAACAATCAATACTTACAAGACACTCATCACCACAATCATGGCAATGTTACGGTTTTCAGTTTCTTTCTTCCTTCCTACAGATCACAGGAAAGACCACATTAGAAAAGCTCAACATCCAATTCTATAAGTTTACCCTCTTATAATAATATACAATATATTTAAATGAACAATTAACAAAATTACATATGGTCTACTTTTATGTACCACTAAAATGACAAATGTTTTATCCTTGTGTTATGGTATTTGATGTAATATACAAGAGCTTTACATAGAGGCAGCAGGTCACCATAATATGCCTACATATTAAGGTTCCCTGGGGATTCTGGAAAGGCCGTAGTTTTACTCCCTTACCCTCAGCCCTCATGTTTCCTCCACCTGCAGCAATGTGATGACAAAATTTCCCAGTGCCATAATAAGATTCATTCCTTTGGCTCAATCCTTTTTGTCTTCTATTAAAATACAAATAACCCCTGGGAGTGTTAAGATTAGATGACTAATGAAATCATTCAAACTAAAAGTAGGATTTGATCTGGGGGGACAACATCCCCCCAGGGTAACAAGGATGGGTGTTACTAAGAAGAGTTAAAGGTCCAAATAGGGAAAGCTGAGGCTACTGAAAGAGAAACTTCTATTTCCCAGTGTAGCCCAGGGCCAGTCGTCATCTTTTTTTGTTTGTTTGTTTGTTTGTTTCCGTTTTTGGAGGCAATCAGAATTAAGTGACTCACTCAGGGTCAGAGAGCTAGCAAATGTCTGAAGTCTGATTTGAACTGAGGTCCCCCCTGACTCCAGGGCTGGTGGTGCTCTATCCACTGTGCCACCTAGCTGCCTCCCTCATCTTTTAAATATGCATAAAGTATAAAACCCTGACAATAAATACAGACAAGGGTTAAAGTGCACTTAGTTATGCAGGAAGTATTTACAAGGAACTCCAAGGGTTTTATTAACATTATCTAACAAATGAATCCTTGCAAAATCCCGCAAAAACATTTTTAATAAATGGAGAAATTTAAGAGCAAAGACATTAAATGACTCTTTGAAGGTCAGAGAACAATAGGGAAGGTAGAACCTATACTTCTCTCTCACAGTTTAGTTTTCTCTCTCATATTCAACAGGTTTCTCTTTCTTTTTTAAACATTTATTTATTTTTAGCTTTCAACATTCACTTCTATAAGATTTTGAGTTCTAAATTCTCTCGCCTCTCCCCAAGATGGCACGCAATCTGATACAGGCTCTACATATACATTCATATTAAACGCCTTTTCACATTAGTCATGTTGTAAAGAAGAATTAGAACCAATGGCAGAAACCATGAAGAAGAAGAAACAAACAAAAAAAGAGAGAGCAAATAGTACGCTTTGATCTGCATTCAGACTCTGTAGTTCTTTTTCTGGACGTGGATAGCATGTTCCATCATGAGTCTTTTGGAGTTATCTTAGATCAAGAGGTTCCTTTTGCCTCATATAACAAAACACAAGATTTCTGACCTTGGAATATCTACCTTTAATGTCTCCCTTGGAGTCCGGGCCTATGGTCCCTGGGGGGAGTGGAGAAGAGTGTGTAGGAAGCATTTCTGTCATATTTCGATTATATGTCCGTCTTCTCCTCCGTAAGCCACTGGGTTTTCCAGGATCTTCAACAGACTGCTCTGGCAAAGACTCCTCCATTAACAGATCTAATTCTGAAAGGAAGGAAAAAAAGCCTAGAGTTTTTTTTCTTTTTATTAACAGATGGACATTTATAGGACTAACCTATGACTCAAGAGAAGGGACTTGAAAAGCAATAGAAACTCCTTTTTTGGTCTATAACACAAAGCACATTAAGTAACATATGGCAGCTTCCTTGAACTTTTCCTTGTGTTTGAACCCATGTAATGGATTAAGTCCTTCCTTCAAATAAAAAGCTTTAAAGAGTGCAATGACCCCACAATGATCCTTCATCATTCTAGCAAGAATAACCTGTATCAATAAATAATGGGGATCATTAGTGCATATCCACCATATTGCTATATTAAATATTAAAGTAGTCATAAGCCACTCATGGAAATAAACAGGCTGTCCACTTACCTTGGGTGAACAAAAAATTTTCTCAAGCAATGACACCTGATTAGATTACAAATGTTCTGCTACCTAGATATTGAGACAAGAGCTCACTATTTGTTCAGAAAACTGGAAAGTAATTTGGGAGAAACTAAGCATAGACCAACATCTCATACCATATACCAATATAAATTTAAGATGGGTATGTGATTTAAACATAAAGGGAGGTATCATAAGCAAAGTAGGGGAGCACAGAAAAATTTATTTGTCAGATCTATAAACAGGGGAAGAATTCATGACCAAACAAGAGATGAAGAGGTGCACAAGAAGTAAAATGGGTAATTTGAAACCAATGCAGCTAAAATTAGAAAAAAATCAGGAAATTTGGGGAAAAAAATCTTTGCAGCGAGTTTCTCTGATACAGGTTTCATCTCTAAAATATATAGGGAACTGAGTCAAATTTACAAGAATAAGAGTTATTCCCCTCGGACTTAACCCCTATCTCTCACCTCTGAGCATTCACATAGCCAGTCCCACATTTCTGAAATGCCTTCCTTCCTCATCTCTAACTTTTATAATCCTCCTTCCTCCAAGACTCAATTTATAGGCCACCCCCTCCATTATGGTGCCCTAATCCCCTCAACTAAAAGTGTTCTCTACCACCTCAAATTTTGTTAGTGTCTGGCTCTCTACTTGGCTCTTATCACACTCTACCTTAGGTACATATCCTCTCTCCTAACTCTAGTAAAATGTAAGCTCTTTAAAGGCAGGTGATGGGTGGAACCAAGATGGCAGAGTGAAAGCAGTGACTTGCTTAAGCTCTCCCCCAAACCCCTCAAATACCTATAAAAAATGGCTCTAAACAAATTCTAAAGCAACAGAACCCACAAAAAGACAGAGTGAAGCAAATTTCCAGCCCAAGACAACCTGGATGGTTGATCAGAAAGGTGTATCATGCAGGGCAGGCAGAGAGCGCAGTGTGGCATGGGCACGCAGGCACCAGTGAACCTGGAACAGGCCTCAGAGGACTGAATCTCAGGCAGCTGTGGTGGCTTCCAGACCTCTCAACCCACAAACACCAAAGACAACTTAGAATTCTGGTCAGTGGGAAAAGTCTGTTTCTGCGGTGCTGAGAGAGGAGCTAGGTCAGAACCAGCTCCAGAGCGCAGGGCACTGGCCCCGGAGCAGTGGCTGCATCCTGAGCTTCTGGCCCACAGACTGAGGGAGAATCCAGTGGCTGATCAGAGGGGGATTTCAGGGATCTATTTGCCAGTGCTGAGGTAGGAATCTCTTGCTTTGCCCGTGCTTAGAGCTGGGTCACAGTTCTGGGCAGGGGTACTGGTGCGAGGAGGAGTGCTGCTGTGGTGGAGCTTGTAGTGGCAATTGAAAGGAAACCTTCTTCATAGTCCCGGGACAGAAAGGAGTGCTTGTGGTCACTAACAGACCAGAGCACAGGCCAGGAAAGGAGTAAACACCTCCCTTATCATACCACCCTGTAAGAACTGAAAATTTACAGGTCCCTATAAGTATCTTTGAAAACAGTTGTACAAACCCCCAAAACTTGGGACAGTACATCCTCCACATTGGAAGTAGACTCCTACCTTAACAAAGAGTTTAAAACTCAAGTAATTGGCTGGGATCATGAGCAAGCAGCACAAAAAGAGTCAGACTATATTATCTAACTTTGGTGACAAAGAATATCAAAACATACAACCAGAAGACCACAAAGTCAAAGCTCCTACATCCAAAGCCTCCAAGAAAAATATAAATCAGTTCCAGGCCTTGGAAGAGCTCAAAAGAGATTTTGAGAAGCAAGTAAGAGAAGTGGAGGAAAAACTGGGAAGAGAAATGAGAGTGATGCAAGAAAATCATGAAAAACAAGTCAACAGCTTGCTAAAGGAGACCCAAAAAAATACCAAAGAAAACAACACCTTAAAAAGTAGCCTAACTGAAATGGCAAAAGAGGTCCAAAAAGCCAATGAGGAGAAGAATGCCCTAAAAAGCAAAATCAGCCAAATGGAAAAGGAAATCCAAAAGATTACTGAAGAAAATACTTCCTTAAAAATTAGAATAGAGAAATTGGAAGCTAGTGACTTTATGAGAAATCAAGACACTGTAAAACAAATCCAAAAGAATAAAAAATTAGAAAATAATGTGAAACATCTCACTGGAAAAACAACTGACCTGGAAAATAGATCCAGGAGAGATCATTTAAAAATTATTAGACTATCTGAAAGCCCATGTTTAACCAAAGAACCTAGACATCATCTTTCAAGAAATTATCAAGGAAAACTGCCCTGATATTTTAGAACCAGAGGGCAAAATAGAAATTGAAAGAATCCACTGATCTCTTCCTGAAAGAGATCCCCAAAGGAGAACTCCTAGGAATATTGTAGCCAAATTCCAGAGTTCCCAGGTCAAGGAGAAAACATTACAAGCTGCCAGAACGAAACAATTCAAGTATTATGGAAACATAATCAGGATAACACAAGATTTAGCAGCTTCTACATTAAAGGACTGCAGGGCAAGGCATATAATATTCTGGAAGGCAAAGGAGATAGGATTACAACCCAGAATCCCCTACCCAGCAAAACTGAGTATAATACTTCAGAGGGAAAAATGGTCATTCAGTGAAATAGAGGACTTTTAAGCATTCTTGATGAACAGACCAGAGCTGAATAGAAAATTTGACTTCCAAACACAAGACTCAAGTAGAACATGAAGAGGTAAACAGGAAAGAGAAATCATAGAGACTTATTAAGGTTGAACTGTTCACATTCCTGCACGGAAAGATGATATTTATAACTCATGAGACCTTTGTCAGTATTAGGGTAGTTGGAGGGGGAAAATTTATATGTATGTATATAGCTAGATAGCTAGACAGACAGATAGATAAATAGATAGATAGATAGATAGATAGATAGATAGATAGATAGATAGATAGACAGACAGACATATAGATAGATAGATAGACAGATAGACAGACAGACAGACAGACAGACAGACAGACAGACAGACAGACAGATAGATAGATAGATAGATAGATAGATAGATAGATAGATAGAGGGCACAGGGTGAGTTGAAGATTAAGGGGTCATATCTGGAGAATAAAATTAAGGGATGAGAGAAGATTATACTAGGAGAAGAAGAAAGGGAGAGGTAGAACAGGGTAAATTATCTCACAAAAAAACAGAAAAGAAAAGGCTCTTACAGTGGAGGGAAAATGGGGGAAGGTGAGAGGGAACGAATGAATCTTATTCTCGCAGGATTTGGCTTAAGGAGGGAATAACTTACACATTCAATTGGGTATGGAAATCTGTCTTACCCTATAGGAAAATAGGCAGGGGAAGGGGACAAGAAAGCAGGGGGATGATAGAGAGGAGGGGCAGATTGGGAAAGGGGGTAATCAGAAGCAAATACTTCTGAGGAGGGACAGGGTTGAAAGAAAAAATAGAATAAATGGGGGGCAGGATAGGATTAAGAGAGTTAGTTTTTCACAACATGTCTACTATGGAAGTGTTTTGCATAACTGCACATGTATAACCTATATTGAGTTGCTTGCCTTTTCAATGAGGGTGGGTGGGGAGGGAGGAAGGGAGAAAATTTGGAACCCAAAGTTTTAAAAACACATGTTTAAATAAAAAGTTTTCACATGCAACTGGGAAATAAGAAATACAGGAAATGGGGTACAGAAGTCTATCCTGCCCTACAGGAAAATAGAAGGGGAACGGGATAAGAGAAGTGGGGGGAGAGACAGAAGAGAGGGCAGACTAGGGGAAGGGGTATTCAGAATGCATGCCATCTTGGGATGGGGGAGGGGTGAGATTGGGTGAAAATTTGGAACTCAAAATCTTGTGGAAGTACATGTTGAAAACTAAAAATAAATAAATCTATATCAAAAAATAAAAATAAAAATAAGGGAAGGGGTTATGTCAAGTTTTATCTATCACCTAACAGTGCTTTGCTTAATAAAAATTGAACTTGTCAAAAGGTTAACTGAATCTAAATAATATTCAAGTTAGATATTAAACCCTTAAATAATCCTGAATTGAGTTACCATCAATTATTCATAATTGAATGAATTGTATCCCAATATATTTGAAGGCAGACTTAAAGCATGTGAACGTCACACACACATCAATCCTCCCCAGAAAACCTGCAGAATTGGACTCCATCTGTATCCACATGTACAATGAGCATTGGTAGGTGGGTAAACAGAATCTGAGGAGAATGGCATGCTCCCTTCGGGACCTCAGGAATGTGGAGCACCAGTGAGAGGTGACAGCATTCCAATGGAGCCAATCCCATTAATTCTTATATTCAACCCTGACAACCACACCTCGGTGGGAAAAATTGTCAGTAGCAATATGAATAATAAATACTATTCACAAACTAAATACATCAAATAATGTACAAACCAAGTTGTTTGAAATACTGTTCCAATGAGCTCCAAGAGGTCTTTTCAATTACAGACTTTATAAGGCCCCATGGTTGTTTTCTATATTTCAACTCTGTAGTAACTCTAATAGGGAAAAAAGGAATAAAAGACAATTAATGAACGGTAAAGAGGATTATGACAACGTATTAATAATAACTATTAACAAATGAGCATTATTATAAAAAAGTGTCCAGAATTCACATTATATTATAGATACACATAAATATGTATTCAAAGAGAACCACTAAATGAGATTAAGAGAACTCAAGTGAGAAAGAATAGTTATCCCCTTCAAAAACATGCAATATTGTTTCTTCACCAATTTTCTTTTTCTAGTTACACTGTTTCCTCAATTTCTCTAACTCTTTTCATCATAAGCTAAAAATCAACACACTGAAACAAACAAACAAGAAATCAAATACGTATTTTCTCAGAAGCTTTTAAAGGAGGCTTAATGGAAATAAATTAGTTGAAAATAGATACAGTAATTAGACATGACAGGGCAAAGCACATGAAGGCCTACTCCTCTGTATCTAATACTCCACTATTTTTCACTTTTCCCCTGCTATGGCTTACCTTAGCCTGCATTTCTGTTTTGAAGAACGAATGATGCAGTATCTGTTCAAAGTGTAAAAATAATCATGATAGGGAACATCATGTGTCACAACTTCTGCATCCACCAAGTAAAATCGTGCTTCCTGACTTTCTTTATATAGTATCTGTCAAAATAAATCAAAATAAAATTAGCAAACATTTATACACACACACACACACAATGTGTATGTGTCTGTATATGTATACATATATGCACATATGTATGCATATAAATGTAAATATATGTATGTAAGTATGTATGTATATAGTACTCACTCCAGAGCTAAATCTCATACTTAAACTCTTAATTCCAACAATCATTTGTTAATCATTTGTTGGCTTCTGAGGAAGATACTCATAGTATGAAGACTGAAAAAGGCATTTTCCAGGTCTTATGAATCACAGAATCTATATGATATGACCCTTTTTCAGAGAAATGCAACAGTCCACTGACTATTTGTAAATAGTCAGAAAAACCTTACTTAAACTCATCTCCAAACAGGATGACTTATTTCAATAAAAAGTGACCTACGCAAATAACTTGCCCTGTTTTCTTGTGAAACATTTTATTGTGTTTCATGATATAACTGTTGCAGCAGGGAACTGGCCTTGAAATCAAGAAAAGCTAGTTTCAAAACCTGTTTCTCACTTCACATGAACTGTGTTACTATGTATGAACAAGTCACTTAAACTCTGGAGCTCCGTTTCTTCAACTGTAAAGTATACCTTAATACCAACAGTATCTACCTCCCATGTAAAATGTTTTACAAACATTAAAGTGCTAAGTTTGAATTGTAATTATCTTTCACATAGATAACTATTTACATTATTTCATGTTTCAATGACGTGAAAAAAGTTCAGTCAATTTAAGAAAGCAAGTACCCTACTTTCAAAATTTAACCTTCTGGCGATTAAAATAAACAAGAAAAAAAATACTTTCCCCTAACCAGACCTCAGACTGGCACGCTTAGGTTTTCAAAACTCCAATTCATGAAAAGAATTGTTTGACAAGCTCTCCTAGTCTGAACCACATCTCTTCTGCATGTCTCTTATTCATTGACCAGAGCTCCTTTCCCCTACCCCATATTTAACAATGACAAAAAAAAATAAAAGAGAAAAATGACCAAATTACTAAAAATTACCAAAACATGCATGTTACCCAGAGACTTTTTCCATTGACTTCACAATGCATATATTGTATTAAATTGTATTAAAAATTAACTTGTATTAAAGTTATTTGTGCATATCTTATATCCTGAGACTAAACTGTAAAAATCTGAGGGCAAAAACCATATTGTTTGGCTTTTTTTCTTTTTTGGTGAGGCAGTCAGGGTTAAATGACTTGCCCAGGGTCACACAGCTAGTAAATGTCAAGTATCTGAGGCTGGATTTGAACTCAGTCCTCCTGACTCCAAGGCCAGAGCTCTATCTGCTGCACCACCTAGCTGCCCCAACTTTCGCATGGTTTTTTATTGTATGCTCAATGCCTAGCACATGGTAGTCACTTAATAAAAATTCTGTTGGAAAATAAAACCACTGATGGCAGGAATTAATTTGAATTTGCAAAGGTGTCTCCTGTCTATTTGCAGATGAATACACACATTGTTCAATTAATTCTGCATAGATAGTTCAAAGTATTATAGTACCACTGGAAAAGACCTTGCTCTCTTGCTGGTCACAGAGAAAGGAGATTTAATTTAAGGCACACAATCCTAATTTTGAAAAGCCAACTCCTTTCACCCTTGTTATTGCAGGCATCTGGCTACCTGGCTCCTTGAAAGCACCCTCCATGCCACTTTGACACCCTCCTGGGTTGGCAACTTTAGCAGCTGCTACTATTTTAGGGTAGTGGTTGGAATGGGTAATCAATAAGGTTCCTTCCAACTTTAAAATTCTATGATCTTTAAAAGACAGCTTAGAAGCAGTGAGATGGCTCAGTAGATGGAGTGCCAGGCCTGGAGTCGGGAAGAGGAATTCACAGTCAGCCTCAGACACTTCCTAGCTGTGTGACTCTAGTCAAGTCACTCAAATTCTTCTGCCTTACTTTCCTCATCTATAAAATGGGGATGATAATAATAGTTCTTACCTCCTAGGATTATGGGGCTTCTAGGTGGCACAGAAGAAAGGGTGCTGGGCCTAAAGTCAGGAAGACTCACCTTCCTAAGTAGCTGTGACTTAGTAGCTGTGTGACTCCTGGGCAAGTCACTTAACCAAGTTTGCCTCAGTTTCCTCATTTGTAAAATGAGATGAAGAAGGAAATGACAAACCAGTCCAGTATGTGCCAAGAAAACCCCAAACAGAATCATAAAGAATCTGACATGACTGAAATAATTGAACAACAACCACCCAGGACTGTTGTATCAAATGAGATAATATTTGTAGAGTGCTTTGGAAACCTTGGAGTTATATAAATGCTATTGCTATTAGTAGTAGTAATAACATTATTATTGTTATTATCATCATTCCTTGGGGCCTCTAAAGTACTCCTGATATATTCTGGAATTATAAAATTAACTGAATTTAGAATTATTTGAGGATTGTGTATAATTTAAATAAAACACAGACTGCAACTAGTTGTCTAATTTTTAAAGTAAAGTTGAAGCCTGGAACTCTACAAATCAAACTCTTAATCAAAAAGCAATTATTAAACTCCTTCAATGTTGCCGTTTGTTTTTACGCGACAAATATTTTTTCTTATACCACCTGCCCACCACCATTAAAAAAAAAAGAATTAGGGAATACCACTGATGGCAACAGCATCTAATAGCAAATATGGCATTCTACACTGTAATTCAAGATGCATTGAGAATTCTTAGAGCTAAATGGTCCCAAAAGCTTGATGATTCACCATAGATGTTCACAGCACAATATCTAGCCATTTCTCCACAACCACAATTCTCTTGAAATACTGAATCATCAGCCATACTATACCTGCTTTTCAGTGGCTGCAGTGAACTTTCCAGTAAGTGGATTGTTGAGAACTATAGTGTAGGTCATAGTTCTTAGTTGATCACCACCAGTTTCAACATTCCAAGGGGTAGAAACTACATCTAAACACAGAAAACATGTATAATTAGATAGATTCAGGAATATATATTATGAAACTTCAAAACTGAATAAAAATTGTTTTACAATTTAAAAATATCATTCTAATGACTGTTACTAACTTTCAATTTGCTTTATAAGCTTTGCATTTAACAAATGTAAAATTGCCTGGGACAGAATAGGCACTGAAAAGATATTTATTGACTGACTTTCTTTAAAAATAAAAACATTTCAACCATTTCGGAGAGCAATTTGGAATTATGCCCAAAGAGTTATAAAAAACTGTGTATAACCTTTGACCCAGCAACACCACTATGAGGTGTGTTTCCCAAGGTGATCAGGGAAAAAGGAAAAGAACCTATATGTTTTAAAATATTTATATTAGTTCTCTTGGCAGCGGCAAAGAACTGGAAAGTAAGGGGATACCTATCAACTGGGCAATGGCTGAATAAGTTGTGATTTATGATCATGATAGCATACCATTGTACTGTAAGAAATGATGAGCAGGTTGGCTTCAGAAAAACATGGTAAGACTTACATGAAATAATGCAGTGAAATGAGCAGAAACAAGAAAATGTAGTACACAGTAACAATATTGTTCAAAGAATAATTGTGAATGATTGTTATTCTGAGTAATATGATCATTCAAATCAATTACGAAGGACTTATGAAGGAAAATGCCATCCACCTCCAGAAAAAAAATGATATGTGAACATATGCATTGTATGGTTTCACATATATAGCTATATCAAATGTTGACCTTCTCTAATGTGGGGTTGGGAGGGAGGGAGAGAGAGAGAGACAATTCAAAACTTAAAATATAACAAAAAATGAAATAAATAAATAAAACTTTTAAAAATTTTAAACAGAAAAGGTTTTATTGATGCCTTTTGGGTTTTTTATGCTACAAACATATGCCAAAATCTCTGTCCTAGCCCTCCCTCTGTCCCACTCATTAGTACCCTCCCATGTAACAAATAAAAGTAATGCAGTGAAACCAAATGATACAAAACTTCCCTATTATCATCCAGAGCACCATCCTCCCTTAGTAACCCCAGTTAACAACCTCAATGTTACCTCAGCTCTTCTCACTCAACCCACACAATCCATCATTTGCCAAGTCTTGCAGTTTCTATCAACATCTCTTGTATGCATTCCCTTCACTCCACTCACATAGCTGCCAACCTTCTTCAGGGCCTCATTATCACCTTTTGCCTTGACTAGCATAATAAGTTTCTAACTGGTCTTCCTGCTAAAGATTGTCCCTATTCCAGTCCATCCTCTGCTCAACAACCAAGATAATTTTTCTAAAGCATATGCCTATGTCACCATCCCCAGCCCAATGAGGTTTCAGTGCTCTTTATTACCTCCAGGATCAAATATAAACTCTTCTATTTGGCTTGTAAAGCTCTTCAACATCTGGCCTCTCCGCATTTTTCCAGTCCTCTTAGATTTTACTCTCCTTCACATGCTCTAAGGTCCAGCTACATTGGCCTACTTATAGCAACTCAAACACTCCATCTACCCTATCTGTACTTTTGCACTGAATGGAATGTTCAGTCCCTCACCTCTGCCTATTAGCTTCCCTGGCTTCCTTCAAAACTTAACTCAAATCCCACCCTTCACAGTAGGCACTTCCTAGTCCCCCACTCCAACATTTTCTCCACTGAGATTACCTTTCACGTGTTCTGTACATATATCTTCTATGTAACTAGCTATTTACATGTTGTCTCCCCCATTAGAATGTAAAGTCCCTGAAGGAAGGAGCTGATTTTGCCTTCCTTTGTATCCTTGGCACTATGGCTGGCACAACAGAAAATAAGCACTTAAAATAAATGCCTGCTGACTAACTGATTGACACAAACCACATCTGACAGATTGTACATTTGGTCCCCATCATCCTTCACTTCTCTATACCAAGAGGAAGAAGATATGTTTCATCATCTGCCCTCAGGAACCAATAATGGTCATTATCCTTAATCCAAGTTCAGCTAACCTTTTAATGTTGTTTTAATTTCCTTATAATAGCCCCTGTGTATCTTATTCTGCATCATATGTATTCCCATGTATCTCTCATATTCACTTTTTACTATATGACAGTTTTTCATATACCACAATTTGTTCATCCACTGCCCAATAAATGGCCACACACTTTTTTCCTTTTTTGGAGGGGCTACCACAAGACATGTGGCTATGAACATTTTGGCAAATGTGAGACCTTTCTTTCTGTCTTTGACCTTTCTGGAGTTCATGCTCAATCTTGGGATCACTGGGTCAAAAGGTAAGAACAGTTCAGTCATTTTTCTTCCATAATTCCAAATTGTTTTCCAGAACAAGTGCATCATTTCACAGTTCCACCAAGAGTGTATTAGTATGCCTGTCTTCCCACAACTCTTCTGACACTATCTCTATCTTTTATCATATTTTCTAATTTGATAGGTGTAAACTAAAATCTCAGAGTTGTATCCATTCGCACTCCTCTTATTGTTAGAAATTTTATTGTGATGGTTAGCAATTCTTTTGAAAACCATGTCTTTTGTCCACTTATCTATTGAGGAATAGTTCTTAATTATCCATTTGTTCTTGTATGTGCAATTTTTTCCTGCTTTATTTTCACTTCCAAATTCTGTTCTGTTATTTAATATTTTTTGTAAAAGTAAACTTAAAAGTTGATCCTTCTGCCTGCTTTCTTTTATACTCTTCCTTCTGCCACCTCCAAGCTGTGTAAATGCATCCATTTTCATCAGATAAAAATAAAAAATTTCAATGTTCCTTAAACAAACAGTTCTCTAGGAATGAAACTCTATAAAACACAGAGTCAAGGCCAGGGCATGAAAACTTGGCCTTCACTTCAATTTTTAAGGTAACTCAATGCCGTAAGATTATAGCAACAAAGGATAGTGAATCTTTCAAACTGATATTTTTGAGAAAAATGGGGAAATATTGCTTAGATGCCTACCTACACTTCTTTTTATAGAAGCAATATTTCCCTGTATCAGCCACTGAACAAAAATTTTGAATGGGTCCTTCCAGTCCAGCAATATGAATTTATATAATAGGATATAGCAGAATGGATATTCTTCCCCCATTCCAAACACAGGAAGTGTATAAGGAACAATACCATGCTCTATACAAACCGATCAAGCAAAAACATCTGATGCCTTTAACATTTACTCAGTAATTTTGGCTACTCCAACAAGTTTATCAACCACTCTATGTAGTTTACTCAGTTACATCAAAATGGATGATACCTTGTCTAACCTGTTCCTTCCATCACAAGGGAATAAAGTATAAGGTATAATCCAGTCTTGGCCAATATTTGCTATATAGTCATGTTTGATAATTCAGCATAGAGCTGATATCAAAATAACTTTTTGGATAGCTAGAAAAATCTCATAATTTATTAGGTTACTAATATCTTACCAGGAAATATTATGTGCAAAGAAGTCAAACAAACTTCTGTCAACATGAGAATATAGCAACATGAAAAGTTATAAAAGAACTTTACTCTCCCACACATCCTAGAAAATATCTAAGAAAGGCCCTGGATAGTGCCAAGACAAAGAAAAGCAAAGAGAAACACAAGTAAGCCAGTCCAGAACTGCACAAAAAGCCAGCAACCACTGAAAAATGGGTCACACCAACAAATCCAGGAAGAGTTCCAGAAAACAGGCTGGAACTCTGCAGGCACTAGGTAAAAGTATCACACGTACCACGACAGCCAATATAAGCTCACATAAATGAGCAAAAATTAGGGTCAGACCAACATTTCACATTCCAAAGAGACACATGACTTAAATACAAAAGTTCATATCATAAATACATTAGAGGGCCAGGGAAAGAGAAAGGACCTTTTACAACTTCAGACAGAAGAGTTTTTGACCAATCAGATAATAGAGAGGATCACAGGAGATAAATTTAACAATTTTGATATCAAAAAATTAAAAATCTTCTGCACACACACACACACACAAATCAGTGACATAATTACTAGAAAGGAAACACTTAACTAGGAAATATCTTGAAGCAATCTGATATCTTGATATGCAAGATACATAGGGAATTGATACAAATATATAAGAACAACAGATAAACAGCCAAAGGATATGAACAGAAGAAAAAAAGGTTGTGAACAACCATATGAAAAAAGTTCCAAATCACTGACAAGAGAAATGCCCATCAGAACAACTCTGAAGTTGTACCTCACCTCTCATATTGGCAAAGATGACAAAATTGGAAAATAACAATCATAGGAGATGGGTATGAGAGGACAAGCATACTAACGCACTATTGGTGGAGCTCTGAAGTGATCCAACCATTCTAGGAAGTAAGTGGGAGTCAGGCTACCAAATTCAGTAAAGTATGCATACCCAGCATCCCAGCAGTGCCTCTATTAGGTAGTGATCTAGACTATTCTATGTACAGGCTCCCAAAGACAGCAAAGAAAGAGGCAAAGAACCCATATGCATGAAAATATTTAAATTAGCACTTTTTCACTGTAGCAAAGAAGTGGAAACAAAATGGGTATTCATTAACTGAGTAATGGCTGAATTACATAAAAGTAATGGAATATTATTGCACTTTAAGAAAAGATGAAAAGGATAGATTCAGAGAAACATACGAGGACTTATATAACCTAAAGAAGTGTGAGGTGAATAGAACACAGAAAACAATTTATTCAACTATGGTACTGTGAAGGAAAACAATTTGGAAAGTCGTAAAAATTCTGATCAATGTAATGACCAATCATAACTCCAGAATACAGATGATGAATTCTATTTTCCAATTCTCAATAGAGAGATGATGGAGTAGAAGTGCAAAACAACACACAAATTTTCAGACACAGCCAATTTATGGATTTATTTTCCAATAATATACTTATTTGATCTAAGAGAGGGCTTTAATTTTGAGAGGAGAGAGAACGGTATTAGCAAAATCACTATGGGGGAATTAAAAGTGGTGGGGAAAAAAAAAAGAAAATATTGCCAATGAAACATTACAAAAATACACAGAAGAGAACATAAGGGATAGTTTTGGAATTACCAACTTAAATTTAATATATCTTTAAATGAAAAAACAAGCTGTGGATAGCAGACACTTGTGGCTTCATGTATGATCCTCTTTTTCTGTTCTTTGTATATGGAAGTGTTCATGATTGCTGATGTTTGTTTAGTTCATAATAATGAAATTTAGAAAAATTAAAACCACCAAACTATCACATCAAAAGTATTATTAAAAAAGTCACATAACTGATCATGGTCACATAAGTCTGAAGAACAAGCGCAACACAAAAGATCACAGACTCTCAGAGTCAGAAGGTACCACTTAGTCCAACACCTTACCCAAACCCCCTCTAGAGCATCCCTGAGAAGCAATCAGAATGCTTCTCCTTGAAAACCTCTAAGGAGGAGAAATCCTCACCCCCCTTGAGACAGCCTAATCCACTTGGGGATAGTTTTTCCTTACATCAAATCAAAATCTGCCTCTCTACCACTTCAACCCATTGCTCCTGATTTGCATTCTGGTGCCAGGAAGAATGTATCTAATCCCACTTCCACATGAATATTTGAAGACAATTATCTTATCCCTAGGACAGCTAGGTGGCACAGTAGATATAGCACCAGGCCTTGAGTCAGGAACAGTCAGTCATCTTCCTAGGTTCAAATGTGGCCTCGGACACTTACTAGCTAGCTGACCCTGGACAAGTCACTTAATCTTGGCTGCCTCAGTTCCTCATCTGTAAAATGAATTGGAGAAGAAAATGGCAAACCGTTCCAGTATCTTTACCAAGAAAACCCCAAATGGGATCATGAAGAGTTGGACATGACTAAAAAAGCCACTGAACAACAACAACAACAATCTATTTAATAGCCCACCTCTCTGTCCTGTTTACAAGCATAACAGTCAGTATTCAATGCCCTTATGAGGCTAATTATCTTATAGAAAAAAGGAAATAGGGTTAATCTGGCATGATTTGATAAATAATTTGATAAATCCATGCTGGTTTTCAGAACTCATTGTTTCCTCTTATCAATACTCACAAACCATTCTTTGATAATTGTTTCTAGTTTTCAGGTCCCGCTCTCTTCCCTCCTTAGAAAATCAGAACAATATTTGGCATTTCACAGGCCTGTGGCACCTCTCATTTTCTCCAGGATCCTTCAAAGATCGTGGACAGTGGCCACAATCAACATCAGCCAAGTCACTCAGGGCTACACGATGTAGATCGTTCATTGTACCCATTGAGGGCAGTGAGATATTCTCTTACTATCTACCCCCTTATGGATCTTGGTTCTTGACTCTCTGTTATACATTTGTGTTCTATTGTTTCAAGTTTAAAAAAACCTTTTCCTTGAGGGCTAAAACAAAAATAAAATCAGAATTTGGGTAATTCACTATTTTCACCATTATCTGATATCATTTTCCCATCCATCCTGATCAAGAGTTCCTTCCTTTCTTTGGCTTTCCTTTTACTCCAAAACTTAAAAAAACAAACAAACAACCTTTTTGTTCTCATTAGTTTGGCATTCATCACTAGCCTCAGCACATTCTAGGCTACTCTTGGTACCATTAGTACAGTACCATATTATTCTTTTGTAGTCACTACCCCTGAATCTTCCATATATTTTAAAAACCAACTGGTGAATAAGTTCCCTGTATAGTCCCACTGGTCTTTTAAGGCAACTCATCTTTTTTCCTCCTGATTAGAATCATTCTTATCCTCACCAAAATTTAATTCTTGAGAACATCCCATCTCCACCTTCATCCATATATCCTTTCAGAGTACTGGGTCACTGGATCTTACTTAGCCTTTCCCTAAACCCTCTGAAATATGCTCTCTAGGGAACGTATCAGACAATGCCAAGTTTTCTTCTCTTTCTCTATCAAATGGTACCATCAGCTAGCCTTGCCTTAGAAAATTAAAAAGAATAATCTATACATTCTCCTGAAAACCAGTTTTCTAGTTGAGAATTGGTAATAATAAAACTGTGGAAGGAAAAAAGATCAGAAAATTTTTTAAAGTTTTTTTTTTCATTGTGATCTAGATCTGTAACACTTTCAGTATAGAGAATTCCTATTGTGGAAACTCTCTCCACCTGTCTGCTAGGGTACCAAGAGGTTAAATATTGAAGCAGCTCAAGTATGATGTTGTGGAAAGGAAATTGCAGGGAAAATCAGGACAGTCAGGTTCTAGTTTCAGCTCTGCTTCTGACTGGCTGGGTAACCACCGACAAATAACAATGTTATAAACCATCATTTCCTTGTCTATGAAATCAGAATATTGATACTTATGTTACTTACCTTATGGTTATTGCAAGGAACGCAGTTTGTAAACTATAAGCTATATATAAATATAAGCTCCAATTTTATTACCTCTGAGGGGCCTTTCAAACCGAATGTTGTTTGTTTTTATTATTTTGATAAAAAACCCTATAAACCATCAATTATTCCATGATTCTTAAGCTAGAGGAATACAATAATGGGCAAAATATGTATAAAATTATCATATTTTTAAAAAATCCACTGACTTTTTCTTAGTATAACTACAAAATTCAATTAGTACCAGTGAAATGGAAACTTCTTGGCTACTCTGTGCTGATTGATAAAACGAGAAAAACACATTTACTCTCTCTTCCTAGAAATAAGTAGAGCAGATCAACTGAATATCACTTTTAAAGGCATTACAATTGGTTTTTTTGGTCAAACTCATAAATGATGGAACAATAGCTAGTATCTTATTAAATGGAATAGAATAGCACCTTCACCAACAAACTCTAATTTTAGACAAATCATTTAGCTTCTTTAAATTCCAGTTTTTCCCCTTATTGAACAAGGAAGATTCTATGCCACCTATTAGTCATATATTTACCAAGTGCTTTTAAAATCATGATAATGTCAGCATGGTATTATAATGCTGCCACTTGAGACTTTTAACAATGTAGAAAACTCTGACACATAATCAAAAAGATCCTTACAAGTAAGTTATATATTATAGTAAACTTTCTAACTGAGACCCTATTGAACTGTATGAGTTAAATAACCCTCAAAGTAGTTGCCTTACTCTGAGGGGGGTAATTAATAAGTGGAATCTGAGTGATTAAACAATTAGTCTATTTGTGAATTTAATGGAAGTGATTATATAACAATTTACCTGTTATCTAATCCTTAAAAACCAAAGCAAGTCCAACTGTGTTTCTTTCCCTCTGAATAAATTAATCGCTTTCATACTAGTATGATGCTAGTTCAACTCACTAAACCCGACAATGAAATTCCCCAAAACTTACTATTAGGTAAGGACAAATGAACAAACCTATTATACTTCTGGAATTCATGAATTTCTCCATGAAGCGTGAACTGGTGAAAAGCAATTCAAACATTCTATCAGCACTGATATGAAAAACACAGTTCACAAAACGTCTTCCATTAAGGTCTCTCTTAGAAATATCTTCTTCATCTGTGGAAGAAAAAACACAAAAGAAAGAGACTCAGGGAAAGCAAATTCAAGTTTTGTTTGCACAATAAAAGTCCAATAGATGTTAGATGGCTAAATATTTAAAATCTAGTACAATGGTCAGTATATGATAATACACCCCCTGAAGCAGTGGGAGACCTTGGCCTTTTTAAGCTAACGTCTTTCCCAGGTCTCAGTTTGACTGAGGCAACACCCCTTTTTTTTTTAACTAGGTAAAAGAGGCCATTCTTTGCCTCCTTTCTTTCTTACCTAGCCTTAATCTCAACCAAAAGTATTACTTTAAAGGAGTCTATAGTTTGAAAAAAGACTGGAAAAGAGGTTTGTAGTTAACAGACACATGACACACCCCCATCCTCCAGCTGTCTAAAAGGGAAACCCAACCTTAGAAGATTACACTGAAAAATCCAGGATTGCTAAACTAAGCAAAATCCACATTTTCAATCAATTAAATCTAACTGTTATGGGAATAGTAAATTCAGCCAATGCCAAACTCCCAATAATCCATTACTCTAAAGACCCTTAGATGAATTTTCCAGGGTATCTATCCAAAGCGACCAAGTACAGTGATGAGAGACTACAGGGAATATAATTGTCTCTTACTATTTTCTGATTATTTTCCTGGGAGTTATTCTTATCTTCCTGTATACAAAAAGTCTCAGCTAAACCACTCAGACTAAGTGAATATTGAATATTCATCAATTCTCATTCCCAAGCATTTGTTCACACTACTTTTCAGGGCTAGAATGCTTTCCTAGGCATTTCTGATTATTTAATTATGCTCCCTCTCCCTTTTCTAGGCCCATTCTACTTTTCCTACCTTCCTTCAAATCTAGGAACACAGTAGGTGCTCAGTAAATATTTATTAACATGGACCCAAGATATTATACTTAAAGCTCATGGTACAAAAAACCCAGTATTTAAAATGTAGTGACTACTGCACAACTTAGTGACTTTGCCCGAACAAAGGAGAAAGGATAATTAAGACAAGAACTTAACTAGCATTCAGGAATTGTAGAGAGAGCAAAAGAGCTAAAAGTTAAATTTTAAGCAACACACTAGTGTCTCTCCCAAACATGCCTTTTTGTTTAATGTAAAAGAAACAACAAAACTTAATTTTTATTACATGAAAGCTTTGATTCAGAACACTTCTGAGTGAATGGAGACTATCAGAAGAGTGAACAGAGAAGTGGGGAAATTCAGGAAATATTAACTTTGAAGACAACCAAAAAGACAATCTCTGGCAGACATTTTGGTTATCCCAATCCATAAGACACTATGCTAGGCTCTGGGGATACAAAGACAAAAGCCAAGTGTTAAAAAACAAAAACCAAGGTTCCTGCCTTCAAGGAGCTCACTATAGGGATACAATAACTTCAATGATAAGTAAACATTTGCAAAATAATTTCTTTCTTAAAAACATCTTAATTTTTACTGATAGCTTTTGTATTTACATCACTTAGATTTTCAAATATGTCCCCTTTCCCCAATCCTGTGACCTCTACACAAACAAATAAATAAAGGGGGCAGGGCAATGCCGCTCAACAAAACTAACACATCAGTGTAAGCTGGCACTAATGCACCATCCTAAACCTATGGTGAGTGCCCAGTCTCTCCAATGAAGGAAAGGAGGTGCCATTCTCTCATCTCTGCTTCCTAAGATGAGCTTGGTCATTCCAATTACACGGCATTCAGGATTGTTTTGTTGTAGTTCTTTCCATTCACAATGTTGTGATCACTATCTATGCAGTTTTCCTGCTTCAACTTACTTACAACAAAATGTACTAAGCACCTACCACCTGCAAGGCACTGTTTTAAGCCACAGAGATACAAAGAAATGGGAAAAAAAACGGGTGCTGCTCTCAAGGAGCTCACAGCCTTATGGGGGAAACAACATACAAACAACCAAGAAAAATAATCAAGATGAATTGAAAATAATTGAAAGATGGAAGGCTGGCATTAAGTGCGATCAGAAAACTTTCGTACAAAAGGTGGGATTTTAGCTGGGCCTTGAAGGAAGCCAGAGAAACCAGGAGATGCAGATAAGGACGGAAAGAGGTCCAGCAGCTCTGCATGCAAGTCTTCCCATTCTTCTCTAAAGTCCTCATATTCATCATTTCTTATAGTAATTATAATATGATTGATTATGTAATCATAATATATAATTAATTACATTAAAACATGATATTCATGTACCACAATTTTTGTTTTAGCCATTCTCCAAGCAGTAGCATCTACTTTGCTTCCAGTCCTTCACTAACACAAAAAAATGCTTCTATAAATATTTTGATGATGGACCTCTTTAAGGTATATGCCTAGCAGAGAGATTTCTGGGAAAAGTACATGAACATTTAGTCATTTTCTTAGCATAATTCCAAACTGTTTTCCAGCATGGATGGGCCAACTCACAGCTCCACCAACAATGAGTTGGCACACCTGTCTTTCTACAGCTCTTCCAACACTAATCACACAAAGTAATTTCAAGAGCAAGAGAACATTAAGAAAGAAGTCCTCTAGAATCTGGGAAGCAATGGAAGTCATTTAACGGTGCTAAGGGTGCTGATGTCAAGAACTTTCTTTTCAGGTACTTTGGCTTACAGTTACTGTGGTTGCTAAGGAGGCAAGAGCTGCAGTACCAGGACAGGTGGCCGCCAGGTTTCATCTCTGAAAGGACTGCTTGCTTTTCTGGATGCTGGTATGGAGTAGGCTGGAAAGCGGGTCAGTGCTATGGAGTGGTAGCAGAAGCACTGCTACGCCCAAGGCTCTTGGGGCTTATATGCCTGATGGTGACACTTGGTTGGCAGCTAGTGTAGGCAGAAGTGGGGATGCTCCCCTAGGACAATGGTAGTGGGTGACAGAAGCAAAGCCCATGGGTTGGGGGAAGAGGCACATTACCGTTCCTCAGTCTCTTGGGCTGATCTGCTTGTCTTTAACAATTGATATTATCATAATCATCTAAGAGATTTATTTTATTACTCTTATAGATGGGGTTACAAAGAGCCAAAGAGAGATTCTAAGGATTCAAATCTAGCTAGCTCAAAAAAAAAATCTCCTTTGGGTGCTCTAGGTCACTACAGATAGGAATGTATGATTATGTATCTTTCAGGTGTTTGAACCTATTCAGTTCTTGGGAACTGTCAAGAGATGGGCCAAAAGAAATCCAAATTTGGAGTCCAGTTAGACTAGTGAGTATGGCAATTATAAAGAACTATACTAGAAAAGTTTGAACAGGAGATTAATACTTTAGGAAGGGGCAAGTTAATTACCATAAATCCAAAGGGTAAACCTAGTTCAGTTAGTGAGTACTATTTAACTGAGTGAATAATTAGGAAGTACAATCTGAGCGAAAATTATGGGTCAGTACCAAAGGGTTTAAACCAAAAAGGAGGAGACATGTAGAAAGCAGAGTGTAGAAAAAGGAGGCTGAGAAGAGCATCCCAGGTACTACATGGGTAAATAGATACAATTAATCAGTCAGTCAACAAACATTAAGTGCTTACTATGTGATAGGCACTAGAAAGCTGCTGAACAGGATTTTATTTACTGCTAATGAGAGGACAGAAATTTTCTTTTCTGTTGTGATCTTATACATCCTCTCCTATCTTCTGTAGTAGATGTCATAATCATCCTATCTCTCACTTCCTCCCTCCCCCCTCAAACCTTCAGTCCCTCTCTGCTGGTTCCTCCCTTGCTACCTACAAACACATTCAAATCTTCACCCTTAAAAGCTCCACACTATGTCCTATATCATAGAATCATAATTTTAGAGGTAGAAGGGCCCTCACATACCATTTAGTCTACTTCTCTAACTTTACAGATGAAGAAACTGAGGCCCAGAGAGAATGTGACCTGCCCAAGGCCACAGAGGTAGCATCATCCCTCCTTTTCTCAATCTCCTTGAAAAAGCTACTTACACCCACTGTCTCTACTTCTCCTCTCACTTTCTTAAAATTAATTTTTTATTGTTTATTAAACATATCTAAAAACATGAACATTTCAAAATATAGAGTAGAATGTATATGAAACTGTGAACTTCTATTATGTACATTTTGAAAATACAGATTAAGTCTCAGTACAATGCCTTGAACATAGTATTACTTAAAAACACTTATTAACTGATGTAATAAATGCTTATTGATTGATGGATTAAATGTAATGCGCTAGTAACAAAAGTGAACTATGTCTCCTGAATTTCCTTCTGTTCTCTTCTGTGTGTTTTTAGGGGTTTCTTTGATGCTTTTTTTCTTTTTTGGATCATTACTGCTACCAACCAACTCCAGTCCCTGCCTATTGCAAACTGAGGGCCCTTCTGTAAAATATGAGCACAATGAAGCAAAACAAATCAACATACTGGGCATGTCTGAAGATGAATTTCTCATTCTGTACCTCTAGTCCATCACCTCTCTGCTAAGAGCAGGGAGGCACCCTTCATCAATTCTCTGAAGTCAGTATTAAGTCGTTGTATTTATCAGAGATGCCAAGTTTTTTCAAAATCATTTTCCTTTACATTGTAGTAGTCATTCTATAAATCATTTTCCTGGTTCTTCACACTTCATTCTGCATCAGGCTCATATAAGTCCTTTCAGGTTTCTATTACTCCATCAGATTCATTATTTTTTATGGCTCAACAATATTTCATTCCCATTCATATAATAGGAAGGAAAGAAGAAGACAAGCATGTATTAAACTCCTATTACATGCCAGGCACTGTGCTAAGTGCTTTAGAAATATTATTTCATTAAATCCTCACAATGACCTTGGGAAGTTGGTGCCACTATCACCCCATTTTACAGTTGAAGAAACTGAGGCTGACTTGTCCAAGGTCCCATAGCTACTAAGGGTCTGAGGCCATATCTGAACCTAAGCCATAATGACTCTACTCTTAATGCTCTATTCACTGTGCCTTCTAATTAATTGCCTCTATACTATAATTTGTTTACCTATTCTCCAATTGATGGGCAGCCACCATGTTTACAGTTCTTTGC